CCCCCCCCCCCCCCCCCCCCCCCCCCGTGAACTTTTTTTCTTCTGTCCCACTCTCAGGCTGATCTGGGAAAGATCAAATGATGAAATGCTGCTGGAGTATTGATATGTTAACTATGTTTGAAAAGATAATAGCAGGGATGACAAAGACCTTTTCTAAATTACTTTCTGTTAGCATAGCGGTTAAGAAAGCAGGCTCAAGAACTCCTAGGTGGCTAGTCTGAATTAAAGTGTAGATTAGAATACACAGATTTTTGTAGACAGTACGAAAAAAACAGTGTGGTACCTCATTAATTTCTTTTTTATTTGATTGCATTTTGAAAGGATAATATTTTGGATATATTGGGTTATGGAAGTTATTAGTGTTATCTGAATCTTTTTACATTTCTTAATGTGGGCATCAGAAAATTTAGATTTCTATGTGTAGATCACATTCTATTTCTGTTGAACCGTGCTGTTCTAGTGCCAGAGTGTATGAAGTTTTAGTCTTGGTTCTGCTTCTTTTTGCTGTGCTACCTTGGAAAAGTTACTTAACCCCTCTGTGTTTCTGTTTCTCCCTCTAAAATGTGGTTGTTAATAATATCTAAGACACAAGGTTATTGTGAGGATTAACTGAATTAAGGTATGGAAAACATGTAGAGAAATACCAGTTTATAAGACTTTAGCACATGTTAACTGTTAACGTTATTAATATGCCACAGAAATTCAGAATGTATAATTAGGATTTAAAGTGATAGTTGTGATTTTATATTTATAGAACTCCTAAAGTGGTCTTCATTGGAAATTTACAAAACTATGTATTTTTAACAGGAAACTTAAAATATTATTATTATGTTGAAGTTTGAGAAAGGCAAAAGGCAAATTTGTCATATGTTGTTTTTTTTAACCACACTATGACAGCTAATGAAGCAGAGACTACAAAATGCCTCCCTTTTCTTTGAATAAGTAAGGTTTTCTTACAGTTAATATTCTTTAAATAAAATTTGTGCTTTTACTTATTGTTCTAACAATATTATTAAATTTTTAACTATAAAGCCTTTTCCTTATATGTAAATAAGTGTTGCTCTTTCTGGTATTGTTGAATTTAAGCAGAATGTGTCATAATTTTGGAAGCCAAGTTCTAAGCAACTGTAATAAAGTATTTTTATCAAAAAAAGTAAAAAAAATTGCTATGGTAGGGATATTGTTTACCTGATTAAATTTTAAGCAGCTGTTTTAGTAGTTGAAAAAAGCTCTTTATGTGCAAAAATATGTTTGGTACACTAAATGCTGAGACAAATGATTAGGTCACTTTAAACATTTGGATCTGTTTTTCCTTGTCATTGAATGTCATCCTGTTTTTATAATTCATGATTATATGCTTATTTCCATCCTCACATTTTGCTTATTTGAGCAACTATTTCTACTTTGTATAAAATTATAATTTAAAAACTTGGTTTGTTCCAGATAAGTTGATTTCCCCATTGACTTTTATTTTTGAAAAAAATTGGTATAGAGAATTTCTTTTTTAAGACACAGTCTAGGGGGAGGCATAGTGGAATCAGCTACTGTTCTGGGGTGTTGTTGGTTACCTCTGTTTTGTGGGTTGTACACAGAAACTAAAGTACTAAAATGTATTATCTCTCCAGGCTTGGACATAGAGGAATTTTGCACATTACCTTTAATGACTTGCTAAACAAGATATACCAGTTTCACTGATCAGCAGAGGTTCTGATTAAATAGCTTCCCAAAAGTCTCACAGGGGCAGAGCAGTGATTGGAATTTTGTGCTAGTTGATTATGTAGCCTGTACATTAGCCAGTCTGCCATGTTCCCTATTCAAGTTGAATTTATTCATTTGTTCATGTATTAAGAACCTGGGCGGGGGGGCGCCCGGGTGGCTCAGTTGTTTAAGCAACTGCCTTCGGCTCAGGTCATGATCCTGGAGTCCCCGGATCGAGTCCCACATCGGGCTCCCTGCTCGGCAGGGAGTCTGCTTCTCCCTCTGACTCTCCCCCTCTCATGCTCTCTCTATCACTCTATAAATAAATAAATAAATAAATAAATAAATAAATATCAATAAATATATCAATCAATCAATCAATCTATCTTTAAAAAAAATAAGCTGGGGGAAAAATCTTAACCTTATCTGGCCTTCTGTTTGCTTTTCTGTCATATACATATACATTATCAGATTAATTGACTCATTTACCTAAAATTTGATGTGTGTGCAAGAAACTGTGCTAGGAATAGGGTAATCTCACATATAACTTAATACCAGTTCTGCAGAGAATATATGGGAGTTTGGAGGAAGCACATGAGTGAAGTAGGTGATCAGTGAAGATGCCATAGAGTAAGCATTTGAGCTGGAACTCCAGCAGTGGTTAGGACTTCAATAGGCAGCAATGAAAGAAAAGGCTTCCAGGGGCCTAGCACAGCCTGAGCAAAGGCCCAGAGGATGGAAGGCATGTTAGGTGCCTCTGAGTAGGAGATCATTATAAGATTTGCCGTGGGGCCAGATTTATGGAAGCTGTTGAGAAGGCTGTGGTGTTCGTAAATTTAAGAATTCTTCCATTGCTTGGAGCACTGGGTGTTATACACAAACAATGAATCATGAAACACTATGTCAAAAACTAATGATAGACTGTATGGTGACTAACATAGCATAAAAAAAAAAGAATTCTTCCGTATCTAATATTCTAAACAGAGTTCATTCTAAATGATTATTTATCAAATTTGCATAGTGTACGAAGCTCTGAGCTCTCTCTTATGGTGCTTTGAAGTGGTCTGCCCTTCTCTTCCCACAGTTATGCATTCATCACCTCCATGTAATGGGCCCAAGCACAACACAAATCCAAATGTATATTGTATTTGTTTCCTGAGGCTGTTGGAATAAATTACGACAAACCTGGTGGCTTATAAGAGCAGGAATTTATCCTCTCACAGTTCTAGAGGCCAGAAGTCTGAAATCCATACTCCCTCCGGAGCTAGGGGAGAATCTTTTCTTTGACTCTGAGTAGCTTCTGGTGGCTGATGGCATTCCTTGGCTTGTGGCCACATCCCTCCAATCTTGGCCTCTGTCCTCACATCACTCTCTCTTCTGTGTGTTTATTTTTTCTCTTCTGTCTGTAAAATCTTCTTCTGCCTCCATTCATAAGGACAGTTGTGATGGCACCCAGATAATCCAGGGTTATATCCTCATTGCAGATTTTGTTAATCACATCTGCAAAGACCCTTTCTCCAAATAAGGTAATATTTACAAGTTCCAGGGGTTAGGCCTTGATATCTTTGGGTGGCCATTATTCAATCCGCTACATATATCTTACCACAGAAATCATATGGGCTGATTTGGACATTTTCTCCCTCTGATTGGGGAGCAGTACTCACTAAGCAATGTGGAATCCAGCTGGAAAGCCACTGTTGGCCAAGAGCAATGCATGCTGTCTTTATTCACTCACTCATACACTTGAGAACCAACTGTGCTGGTTGCTGGGGAGCGAGGTAAAGAGAAGCCTTCAGACAGCAGGGTGAGAGCAGTGATTGAAGCAAGAACAGGGGGCACAGAGAGAAGGGTGCATAACCCAGCCACGATTGAGCGGGGGAGGCTATTTAGAGGAGGTGAGGTCCAATCTAGATCTGAGGAACACCAAGGAGTCCCCCAAGGAGTGTGTGTTGTGGGGGGGTGGGGGTTCCAGACAGAGAAAACCTGTGCAAACACCTGGAGGCCCAGGCAAGAGATTGACAATAGGGATAGAAGTGAATGGGTGGATTCAGGGGCTATTGAGAAGGTGGGGACTGATGGGCTCTAGGTGAAGGATGAGGGAGGGGCTGGGAGAACGCTCTCTGCTTTGGGCAGCCAGGTTCATTCAGCCGGACAGAAGGCACAGGAGGAAAGGCTGCTTTGTGGGCCTGGGGCCGGTAGAGACAAGATGATTAGTTTTGTTTAGGAGAGTTGTTTATTCCCTAATCCATCTCTCTGTCTCTCTTTCTGTGTCATTAAAAACCACCATGGCCAAAGATAAGGTGGTATCCTTTGCCAAGTTAGCAGTTTTCTTTGTATTTACTCTCACTCAGAACCCTGGAACACTGCCACGAAATGATTCATATGTAAATTATTTGGAGTTAGAGTCCTGAATCACTTAACAGGAATAATGGTAGATGGCTGAATAATGTAAGTTCACGGCAGTTTGAGAGAAAAGTGACGTTCGTACTGTATTGAGAGAGATTTTTTTCCTGGCAAATGTAATCTAGAGAGAGTTTTTATGTATTGGGCACAGTGATTCCACAGGGGTTGCCTAAGAAATCAGAGATGACATTTGTAAAGATTTTTATGGGCTACTTTTGTTTTGTTTCCGATGATGATCAGTTTTAAAAAGCGGGTTGTTCCTTCCAACACAGTTTTACAGGCATAGTCAGAGGTTGGGGGACAAAGGCTACCATCTCCCATATTCCAGGAGAAACTCACTGAGTGAGTAGAACCCTGGCCTTCGTGGAGGAGAGCCCAGGGCTGAGCTAATGAGCCATGGCGGGTGGCATGCTGCAGTACTCGCTCAGTATTTCAGATGTAGCACTCCTGGTTGTCCTGGGGGAAGTTCCACAATCAGAAAGTTCCCAGAAGACTTTCTATTGAGCCTTTCTTGAAAAAGATAACTTTTGAGAGGTGTTATCTCCCTAGGTGGTAGACATCTTATTTTAACTGGGATTTGAGAGAGCTCCTGGGGTACTGGTGATGGGGATGATTTTACATGTGTCACTCTCAATTAGCATCCCTACCAGAGCCCCTGAATAGAGGGAAATTTGCCGACTCCTCCAACTTTGGAGACAATAGGGAGGAGGGGGGGTGTACTGAAGTGATAGATCCCTTTAGCTCTAAAATAGAACGCCTTTCTTGCTGCCGTGGTAGTAACTCCTGTTGTCTTGGCTTCACGTAGAGTGAAAGAAATGCATTTGCTTGCCTTTATGTGTTCGCAAAAATACATCTGACTCTGGCTATTAGTGTGATGATAAAGGGCAGACTTGGCACAGATGATCCAGAGAGGCCTCGAAGTAAGTGAACCAGTGTGGAGTGTTTGCTGAGTCTTTGTCCCTCTGACGAGTTGGCTGTCAAGCTGCTTCTCTTGGGAGGGACCAGGGCACTGTTTGCTGCTTGGTGCTGCAGCTCTGTAGCTTAGACATAAGGGATTGCTAACGGGTAGGCGGCCCTGTCCCCAGCCTCCCAGCCGTGGTTGGTTAGGGTCTGAGGTCTGGAAGCCTTTGCTTAGTCTCAGGCTGGGCGTAGACTTCCCACCCCGGCTCATTAAGGGGCATAGATTCTCCTCTCTGCGCAAAGCCTGGTGTGATTCTGCCTGGACCTCTCTCGTTCCTGTTTTTTCAAGGAATTAAGTATTTTCCGCTTTGCAGAGATCATTTTCATTTGGAAATACTCTTTTACCGAAACATTCCTTTTTAAAAGGTGATACTGTGTTGTACAAAAAATGTGGGCTTGGATGTCAGAAACCTAGGTTTGCATTTTCCCTCAAAGACTGTTCTAAGGATAAAGTGTTAAGACATTACACAAATACTTCCTTTGCAAAGAGACTGACAAATAGTGACTAGGTTCCTAGTAAATGTTCTTTTCTTTTCTTTTCCTGCTTCAGTTTAGCATTTGCACTGTCATTTGCCAACATTCACTGAGTGACTACTTGGACAAGCACAGTGCATTCAGCGCTGGAGAAATGGCCCACGTGAGCAGGAGTTTGCACAGGGTTCCTGTGGATGCTCCTCATTCGTTTGATATAATGTATATTAATCTGTTGTTTGAGATGGCTTAGAGTAAAAAGTCATGTCCATATGGATGCATGAAGATAAGTGGAGAACCTAAATGACATCTTAACCTAGATATAATTATCTTACCACTGCAGTGGAACACTAAATTTAGTGCTGAGATTCATGATGGCAAAGGTGAAAGGGACACTATGAGACACACACACACACACGGATATATACATATGTGTGTATTTAGGTAGCAAAAGCTATCTCTCATATGGTAAGTTTTATGTAAAAGTTATATTTGAAAACCCAGAATGTGTCAGAGGGCAATTAGTTAATTTAACAGAGCATACCCTAAATTCAAAATAATTTATTGTTGTAGCTCATGAGGATTAACAAATGTGATTTTATTGAAATGTTTTCATGCCTCATAAAAATAGAGCAGTAGTTGTTCATGATTCATGTTTGGCGTATTGAGAATAATTCCTTAATGCTGTGGGTAAACATTTTGCTACAATGCTGATCCCAGCTGCATGACTCACCAGGATTGATAATCAGGTAGTATTTTCAGGGAAGAGGTTAAAGCTAAAATGAAAAGTGGTCCCCATGGTATTCAATGTTTCCTGATTTCTGAAATATGAGATGGTAAGGGATATCCTTCTGGTGAATGATTCCATACCCAGCCGTAGAGGGGACCTTTTTTTTTTTTTTCTCATAAGTTCAACATGAAATTCAAATTCATATTAGTAATGGTTTAAAAAAACTTAATGCTCAAGTTGCATTCCATACACATGCAATTTCCTTGTATACTTGATTTTGAGTGTATACTCAAAAAGTGGTTCCAGGGGCACCTGGGTGGCTCAGTCAGTTAAGCATTTGACTCTTAATTTTAGCTCAGGTCATGATCTCAGGGTCATGAGATTGAGCCCTGTGTCAGGCTGTGCTCTGGACTTGGAGCCTGTTTAACATTCTCTCTCTCTCCCTCTCTAAAAAAAAAAAAAAAAAAAAAAAAAAAAAGTGGTTCCAGCTGAATCACAAAGCACAGTGCTTTGTGCCCAAGCTTTTTCAGTGTCATGACCTCTTAAGGTTGGAGGTAATAAAGAGAAAGGAAGGTAGTATATTTTATGTGCCAGAGTGGCACCATTGAGCCCTTTCAAGGGACATTTTGAGGATATCAGTTCCTTTTTGTTAGTGACAATGACATGTCACATTGACTTGTCCTGTCCCTATGGAAACCAGCTCAGCCAGGGCTTGGTTTTGTCTTTGCACCAAGGGAGGTGCTTCCTTCGGCATCCGGTCTACAGTAGTGCATCTTCCAGAATATAGAGCTAGAGAAGAGGGTTCTATGGTTTCTGACCCACCTCTCTAAACCCTTCCTTTGACAGGAGCACCTGATTGAGAATGAAGTGTCCATCCTGCGCAGGGTGAAACATCCAAATATCATCATGCTGGTTGAGGAGATGGAAACAGCTACTGAGCTCTTTCTGGTGATGGAACTGGTCAAAGTAAGAGGGTGGAGAGATTTCATTGGTGCCAAACCCCAAGACATACCATATTCTTGAAGGCCCTAATTGGAAACATGTTTCGCTACCTTGAAACTTTTGTTATTTATCATAATTGTTCATGGCATTTGTGTCATTTTTTCATCTACTCCAGGCTGATGAACCTTCTTTGTTACCTTCATAGGATTGTCACTGTTGACACTTTGCTGTGTTCTTTTATGTGTCCATCAGGGTGGAGATCTCTTTGATGCAATTACCTCTTCAACCAAGTACACTGAGAGAGATGGCAGTGCGATGGTGTACAACCTGGCCAATGCCCTCAGGTATCTTCATGGCCTCAGCATCGTGCACAGAGACATCAAGCCAGAGAACCTCTTGGTATGCCATCTCTGCTTTTTTTGTTCCAATTCATCCTCTCTTCCTTTAAAATGACATGATCACATGCAAACAAAATCACTTTAGAGTCTGTACCAATCCTGCATAAGGAACTGAGAGAATTCAAATTTAGAGAATCACCACGACTCAAGTCAATGACTGTAAATTATTAATGGATTTCTTAAATTGATATGCATTTCTGTATTTATTGTTTATCAGACATTAGAAAACACGTTTCCATTTGCATTTTGATTGATGGTACTGACTAAAGAAAGGTAAGAAGGAAAACTACTTTGTGAGGCAAAACTTTGAAGAATAGAGAATTAGGAGCTTAGAGAAGACAGAAATAGAATATGATGGTTCATTTATGTGCGGGACAGAACGTTGGGAATAATCTAGTCCATTTACCTCAGCTTTACAGGTACAGAAATTGAGACTCGGATGCTAATTTTTCTGGCTGAAAAGTCCCATGCATCCCATTGTTCTACAGAAGAAAGCCTGTAGCACTCAGAGGGCTTCATAATCTGGTCCCAATTTACCTTTCCAGCCTCCTCTCCTGTTACTAACCCTTCCCCACCCATCTGTCCAGACTGGCACTCAACCTTCATGTCATATTTAGCACATCTCCATGATGGCCTTAGTAAACACAGCTTGCTAATTGGGCCAACCTTTGTGTCTGCATGGTAGAGGAATTTTAGAGAAGCTGACTAGGCACTTCGACCATCACACATCCCCCCAAACACACACAGGACCATTTTTTCATCTATTTCTATCTTTCGGGGCTGAGTATTGTTATCATTATGGCTTAGGAGGTGGGGTTTTCTGAGTATTCTATATCATGATAATCCAAACTCTGATTTTCCCATCCCTAGTCGTTAGTTAAGACTTAACTTTATCAACACCATTACATATCATTGCTTATTTCCATACTGGTCTGCATTTGCAATGTCCTCTCTCCTGGCAACGTGGCAAACGTGTTCCTCTCATAAGACACTGAGCAAAAGTCATGTCTTCTTTGACATCACTCCTGACTTCCCGGACAGAGTCAGTCATGGCCCCCTCTAGTTTCTGCTGTACGTGCCCTGGTGTGGTGAGTTTATCATGTACTTGAGTGACTCCTTCTCTAGATAAGCACCATTAGGGGCAAGGTTTGTGTCTCCATTATTTTCATGTCGCCAGTGCCCTGAACAGTGCCAAGGAAGCACACGGTGGACGTGGAGTAAATGGTTGGTGCCTGAGCATTGACAGTCGCTCAGCTAGCTAGCAGCTGGTACTCGAACTCAAGTCTTTCCAGCTTGCCTCATACTTGCACTGTGCAAATAATTGTTGAAAGGAATATGCATTGATGTTGAGGCTTTTAGGCTATCCTGGGAACTTTCTGTGAATCCATCTTCCCCTTTTGATAATACCATTTGATGATTTCTGAGTATCCATTTAAATGTATGTGAGGTTTTTTTTTTTTTCCTTTCTTACTGTCTTCTGCCTTGAGGAGTTATGTTTCATGTCTAGATTTTCCTATTGGGAAAATAAATATCCTTTCTATGTAAAACAAGATGTATTATAGACTTGGTTTTATGAACTCTAAGGAGGAATGGAGACAATTGTAGACTGGGCCTCAGGATAGAAGTGAGGATATGGTATTCTCTCCTCAAAACAGTCTTCTCAGCCATTATGACCTGTCAGGCCCAGGCTCCTCCACCACGGGACTGAGGTTGGCCAGGGGCTTCAGAAGCAAGGGTAACAGGGCTTCCTCTGGCTATGGCCAGATGTCAATGCCATAGTGTTAATGAGGATGCCTCCTTCATTTGTCCTTGCTGTCCATGGCCCACCTCACCCTGGTGGCTGTGGTTATTGATGTTTTCTGGAAATACAGAGCCACAGGTCCCTAAGGGCAATAGGTTACTCTGGAGCCAGCCCATACTGTAGCTCTGATTGCTGAGACCCGGTGAAGAAGGTGACTGAGGCCTTCCTTGGCGAACTCGCCTGTAAGCCAGGGAGTGTCCATTTCCCAGCTCATCGATTCCACTCTCACCTGCCCTTTCTTCTGTTTTCCACTCACAATGGGTGGAACATCTCAGAGTCTGATACTCTCTCCTTTTCTCATGTCACATGATGGGGACCAGGGGTCTCCAAAATGACCTGTCTCAGAATGTAACCAGGAAAGTGGAACCAACTTCCTCATCCAGTCTAACTTGCCCTAGATGAGTCTTCACCCCTTTTCAAGACCTGCCATAACCCCACGCTGCTACCCAAAGGGGAGGAGAAGGAAGATGATGATAAAACGGATGTCTGGATAAGGCTAATGTGTGGTATAAAAGGGTCAGGCTGTGGAAGCCCTTAGCTGCACATATCTAAGTAAAATATGTGCCTGCCATTGAAAACTTAACTAGATCACTCAGCAGATTCTGCATTTAGTCAGCAGGTTGGCATTGCCCGAGGATGAGAAAGTGCCATTGAGGCACTAAAAGTAAATACAACAGTGACTGTCAGCCTCTTCCTACTCTAAAAGCGAATTCTGTTGTTAAGCACCAGAGCATTCAGACATCTGATTTGCATTGCCTTCTCCGGGAGCAGTGTCATAATTTAAACCTCTGCCAGCAGAGATGTATGGGTCGCCGTGTCAGGGAGCACAGGGGTGGCCATTAATGCTGTGAGTTACAGCCTGGTGGTGCCCTGTCAGACTTAACTATGAGAGACCAGTGATAAATTCTGCTTTTCCAGGAGTTCTGGGGACTGGGGAGAGAAGAGGGTTGGTTTCTCATATTTGAAGCCCTTCTAAATCATTATGTTGACATTTTATTTAGAGAACACGCAGTGTTCACTTCGTATGTGGGATCTGCATTCCTCACATCTTAAACTTTTGCATTCTGAGTGCAACTTTTGACAGAGCACATCTCAGCGGGTGGCGGTGGGACATTTGAGCGGTCGTGATTGTTGAGATTACTCAGCATCTGTGTGTGGGTGCAGGCTGCAGTCGGGGTTCTCCCAGGCCCACTCTCTTGCATTCAGACCTGTTGCAGGATGGTGCCGTGGGATGGTAAAGGTACTGGCTGGAATCCCCACTTGGTAGCTACTAGTAACTTGAGTTCTTGTGCCTCAGTTTCCTCATCTGTAAAACAGAGGTAACAGTTATTTTCCTATTCACCGGTGGGGGTGGGGGTGGGGCAGTGACTCTCAGATCCAGTGAGATCATGTGTGGAAAAAGCACTGGAATATGTGGTGTCAGTAACTGGGGAGAGAACAGAGCACTCTGCCAAAACAGAAGGCCTTTGGAGTCCCCTATGCATTTGTTCAGCTCTTTCTTCAAATCAGTCTATTAAAGCAATGCCATATGTGTGTATGTCAGTGTCAGTCTCTTAAAGCAATGTCACACATGTGCATCTGTATGTATAGATTACTACATATTCCTGCTTTGAAGAGAATTTCCAGCTAAGATTTTGAAATGGACTCCTATTATCTCACATATTTGCCTCTGTGTCTAGCATTGAGAAGAGATGAATCAGATAAAGTATTATTTCAGGCTTGTCTGCTCCTTATGACACTTCTCTTTTGATGTTTAGCCAAGGAGTGCCACTTGCCCAGACATAATTCAGTGATTATGAACTGTCCAGTACCTTTCTGTTTATGCTCCTGCATCTGACTCTGAATTCCTTATAGGGGATATGAGAAATGGGGCTTTGGGGACTTCTGAGTATCTGACAACAACCCTCAAATACCCCCAGGCATCCGTAAATTGCATGTCTAAAGTAAACACTATTTTTCAAAAAAAAAAAGTACCTAATGAGTGTATTTTAAACTTGTAAAAACAAAATAACAATGACATTAATAAAACTTTTTTTTTTCGCTTTCATGATACAGACATTTAAAATTATAATGTTGCTTAGAATGTTCTTATCACTGCAATTACTTAGGGAATTTCTGAAGTCTGGGTTTCAGTAAATGCATCATAAATTCTGACTGTAGTTCTCTATATCGGATTGTTCTTGTTAATGTTTACATTAAACATAATGGATGGAAAGTCGTCCTAAGGCCCTGGCAAGACTGAGAACCTGGTTTCTCCTGCTTTAGGCTAAATCATTAATAGCTTTGAATATGCCTCTGCTGAGCTGTGGCTGACTCAGAATGATAAATCTCTGTGAGGGACTCAGCAGCCTCACCATTACCCCCATGAAACTTAAAAGTCATAAAGATGTGTGCTGGGGATGTATACTTAGTACATAAATGTGGAGGCAGTTACTAAAATACTAAGGTGAAAAACATTCTTCTTAAACCGATGAGGACATCGCAGGTAAGGAAGGTATTCCAGTGTCATGCTTTTTAAATGCCTCTATAGACTGGGTATCGCTGACATGGGGGAGCCCTGAGGTTTTGCTGCTTTTTCACGATGTCTGTATAAATCACTTCCCCTCATTAAGTATCAGACTAATGGAAGATGTTATTAACATGCTTATCTTAAAAAAAACATAATTTTCTAAATTGCTCATCCTTTAGTAAGGAGTGGTTTGAGTGAGGATCTGGTTCAGTTCATAGTAAAATATGAGGAAAGGCAAACTAAATAGAACAAAATTATAAAAGTAGGGAAAGACATTACATTAGTACAGATTAGATCTCTGCAGTTATTCTTCTCTGAAATTCACCCTTCTCAAAATGGACATCCAAGAGATGAATAGGCAAGCACGTTAAAGTTTACGCAGTTAAATCTAAAAGCCATCTATTTAAAATGTAACTTTCAGACTTTGATCCCATAAGGAAAGTTTGCTTATATATAAAGTTAATTTTTCTTGATTATAGAATCAATACGTGTTCATTGTAAAGATTTTAGAAACTATTGAAAAGTAGAAAGAAGAAAGCTAAAGTAATCTTTAGTGCTACCCCCTAGAAATAAACTGAACGTTTTGGTGTATTATACTGAATATATAATTTTGAATATTCTTTTTTCCTGTAATATAGTGAATATTTTCCATAGGATTAATACTTATTTGAAATGTACTTATTAGTGACTGTATAGTGTTTTATTATAAGAATGTACCATGATTTATGAAGTCATTGTCCTATTCGCCATTTATGTTCCTTCCAGTTTTTAAAAACATAGATAAATTCTGAGATTGGTGGTCTTGTGTGTAACCTTTGGGTTCATCTCTATTCCCTTAGGATTGGTTCTTAGAAGTAGATTTACTGGATCAAGTGTTATAAATAATTTTTAAGAAATTCACATGTTGCTGAAATGTTTTCTAGAAAGACTGCTTCCCCTGGAAGCAAAGCGCATTCATATCTTCACCAGCACTGTTAAACCATTTCCAATATGTTACTTATCTTATCAGCCAGTCCTTCTGGGAAAGGAAGGAGCATTCACTGAACCCTGATCCAAGCTTGGTCTCTTCACACCAACCCCATGGGTCAGGGACTATTCTCATCTCTCACAGGTGAAGAAACATGTTCAGGGAGTGACTCGCGAAGGTCACACAACCAGGAAACCGGTGGAGTGGTTGGTTATTCAGGTTCAGGCTGTCTGTTCCCAAGTTTATTTTGTTTAAATATTTTCTAAACTTACAAAATTTTCCCTATGAAATATTTATATTCATCATTGCCTGTCCAAAAAAACAAATCCGGATTTTATGTTCTAAAGTAAAATGCAAGTGTTTTAGTGGACACAACAAACACCATTTCTGAGACTCTCAAGTACCTCACACACAGTGAACATGTAACAACGGTCAGTTTCCTGCTTCCGGGTTTAGAGGCCTCTCAAGCGATATTGGGTAAGCAGCTGCCTATACCCCGCCTGTTGTGTCAGCATGCGCCCATATTCATTATACTCCTAGATAAGGAGCTTTTTACAAAGATGGAAGATACCGTCTTTCAAATTTCACACAGTCATGCAAAATTTCAAAAGAAAAAATTTAGAGCTTTAAAGCATCAAAAACAAATCATGGTGTTACTATCACGGGGAGAGTTTGATTTTTTTGTTTTTTTTTTAGTTGATGAATACGTCTGTCTGTGTCGTTTCTACCTAATTCCAAGGGCCCTTTTGGAATCATTGAGAAAAGGAACTACTGATCATTGGCTGGTTTCTCTTCCAGGTGTGTGAATATCCTGACGGAACCAAGTCCTTGAAACTGGGAGACTTTGGGCTGGCCACTGTGGTGGAAGGCCCTTTATATACAGTCTGTGGCACGCCGACTTATGTGGCTCCAGAAATAATTGCTGAAACTGGGTAAGACTCCTGGTGGTTCTGGTTGGTACTTTCACTTTGGTGGAAAAAGGTATGTGTAGCTGCTCCAGCTGCAGTGATTTCACGGCCTCTTGGGAAGGAAGGTGGAGGGTGGATCTGCATCATGACTTTGATCATGACTTTGTGCTTCTATGTCCAAGAGTCATAGGCCTGGATTTTCGTCCCGAGGCCAGTCTTGGAAATACAGCAGTAGCCCCTAAGACCGTGGTTAGGTTGGGAGAAAAGTAGATGCCTCTGTCCAAAGGGCATTTAATTCCTTTACGTGAAATGAGCGCTTTGACACCGAGAAAATCCTTTTTTCATAACAAACAAAGGCAAGTACTCCAGTAGCGTGGAGGGTCCTTGGGGGTAATATCTTTATTTCTCCCCCTCCACCCACTTTGTTTTCCCAGCTATGGCCTGAAGGTGGACATTTGGGCAGCGGGCGTGATCACATACATACTTCTCTGTGGATTCCCGCCATTCCGAAGGTCAGTGGCTCTTTGAGTAACAACATTTGAATTGTAAACTCTCCCTCTGATCAGCAGACATCCTCATCCTGGCAGTCAGGACCAGTGACTGGTCAATAAAAATGTCAGTTAAAAATTATATAAACATGCCTTTCACTTTTTATCATATTTTACAACTATTAATGGCTATTCCTTGACCACACTTTGATGTGAGGCCAAGGCCTTTGCTTGGTGTATGGTCCTCTGAGTTTCTTATGGTCATTCTTCTGTAAAACACACCCATCATCCAATGTCTACAATTTCCATTCTCAGTCTTTTTCGTGCTCGCTTCGGCAGCACATATACCATTCTCAGTCTTTTTCACGGGTGGTAAGATTGAAAGATGCTTGTGAAGCAGTCTGATCCTTCTAGGTAAACAAATCTTTCTCCTGTTGTTAATAGTCATTTCTCCTACTTAATTTGACAGCAGGTCTTTTTTTTTTTTTTTTTAAACAACTCACTTTCCACAGCATTCAACTTAGTTCTCATAGACTCATAGAAACAGGGAATTCTTTCTTTTAAAATTAATTTCATCTGTTCACATAATATTTAATGCAGTAGAATTACAAATACTTTCAGTATAAATAGGCCTGGGAATACACAGACCTACTCTTGGTAACGGTGTATCTCACATGGGGTCAGGGTGGGGAGCAGAGGTGGCCACACACAGCCCAGGGCACACTCAGTACCCCAGCAGCGTGTACCCGAAGGGAGTGCAGGGCTTTGGCCACAGTGCCACTTTTGGTCTGTTCCATCTCCTTCTTTGGAGCAAATGAATGCCTTGGAAGTAGAAGTTCATCTAATGATGCAAGTATGTTTTTCTTCTGAGTTTTCTTGAGCTCTCTCTTCATTTTCATCCTTCTTTTTGTTCATTTTACAACTACTGTAGAGTAACCGCTGTGTGCCAGGCGCTATTCTAAGCGTCGGGAATCAAATGGCAAACAACGCATGTTCTCTGATGTATTTATTTATGGTGTGGTATTAGGTCAGTAAGTTCAATAGGTTGAATTCACTGCTCCCCCCAACATTTTATTATAAAGCTTTGAAACCTACAGGAAAGTTGGAAGGTGTATCTTTTTTAAATGACCAATTTTCAATTGAGTTGAACAGTTTTCTTTTTACTGACATTACAGTAAACACAAGAGTGACATAGAGATTTCAGTCTCTACTTTTGAGAGCCTTATCATGTAAAGATACCCATCACCAAAATATTGATCAAGAAGAATAAAACTAAAAGCATGAAGACATTTAACAAAGGTTAAATGAAAGAGTGTTTGAGTGGGACCTTGTCCCTGTGGCTGGGGTTGGGTTTCTGCAGGTGGGAAACTTTTTCTGTCTGGCCATCAACATCATCAGGGCCTTCAGGGCCGCTGCCTAGCTGGATTACACAGACTGTAGGATTACAGCACTTGTCAGCTTTTGCTGACTAACAAACTACTCCAACAACTGTCGATCAGTTCTATGGATTGATTGGGCAATTCTTCTGATTTGGGCTAGCTAATTGGGACTTGGTGGCTCATTGTGGCATCACTCACATGCCCGGAAGTTGGCTCAGTGTCAGCGGGGACCACAGATAAGACTTGGTTAAGTGCCTTTTAGCATTCAGTGGGTTAGCCTCAGTTTCACATGATGGTGGCTACAGGATCCCCAAAAGTATCCAGAGAGAGGGCAAGTTCCTTTGCCCAACCCCTTTCCAAGTCTCCACTTGACTCACCTTTGTTGATTGATGTCCCACTGACCAAATGAAGTCAAATACCTGAGCCTAGAGTAAATTAACCAGGTCTGTTCCTGGAGTGGAATAATTTGTGGCCATTTTACATTTACAGTTCCATTGGGTTCTGGCTGGTTTGGGTGATGAGCTGTTTGAGGAACTAGTCAAGTGCAGGGGGTAGTGTGTTTTGATGGCACGTAATCATGGGGCCAGTTATAGCAGAGTTCCCCTCCTAGGTTAATCCAAGTGGAGATCAATTGGGAAAGGGTTATCAGGGATCAGTTTAGAGGAATGTGTGCTCACAACTCCCTCTAGTGTTTCCACGTGCCAGGGCAGTCTGCGGGGTTTTTATTTGATTTTGCTTTTTACTTTTTAACAAAAGCGAGACTGAGATTGAACAGTATGTATCGCTTGTGACTTGTTGCTCAGCGGACAGCAGCTTTTTTGTGGGAACTGGAGGTAAGTCTGGCTAATCAAAGCAGTCAAGCTACATTATGAAAGCTGCTGACTTATATTCGGAAGCTGGTCCTACAACCACGAGGTTAGTTACGGCCTGAGGAAGTCTGTTCTTGGGGCCACTCACATAAAGTGATATTTGCATGACTGTACTGTTAATATTGTTGTTTCTGAAACATACATTCATTCTCCCCATAAGTGAACTGTTGGAAAATCCTTTGTAACATTTCAAGTTACCTCATCAGACCTTTAACAGTTTGCCATTGAGGACAGAGTGTGCTCAAACTCCTATTGTTTTCAAGGTTTTTCTTAACGTACGCTTTAAAACTTACTGCACCTTGATCCGTGGGCTATATTGTTTTAGGATTTAAAAGTGCCCTGAAGCACCTCAGCCAGATTGTGGAGTATAAATGTGTTAATAAGTCCAGTGTAGATTTAATCAGAGTGGCTTTTACTATGTGACTATTTAGAAGGATAAATTTATTTTCTGTTCTTCTGGTGAGGGGTGGCCTGAAACTCTCAAAGTGCTTGTATTTCTCAGTGTGGATCCTAAAAGGTGCCTGCTAATTGCTGAGACTCTATGGGCTTGTGTTTGTTGACTCAGACTATTTTGCCAAGAACCTAAATGACTTGCTGCAGCTACACTTCCAACTTTTTAGCTGTTTACTAACAAAATAAAAGCCATATATATTAAAATAGAAGCTATTTGGTATTCCAGACAATAAAAGGGAGATGAATAATACAGAAGAATGGCTAAAAGGAATGGTTCTGGAAATGGGTGATTTTTAACATCTTTTTCTAACATTGTCTCCTGGGGTCCTCCAGTCTCCTAAAGATGTCTGTAAAATCTCATTGTGATTTTATGTGCCTCCTTCACTCATTTTGAGGGAGAGTTGACAGTAGGGAAGTAACAGTGAAAAAGAAAACATTGAGACACTTAGGAAGAAATAGTGTGTGCGCCCTCCTTGACAAGCACTTTCCAGGACAGCAGTGGGGATCTGTTGCCTCACCAGGTTGTCTGGCCTGACTTCTCCTCAGTGTGCCTCTTGACCCAGACTTCACAGACTGGCAGAGGTCGATTCAGCTGGGCTTGGGGAGATGTCACAGATGTTCACAAAGCTCACAGACTCGGCAGGCGTACCTCGGAGATGTTGGGAGTGTAGTCCTAGCACACTGCAATAAAGCAAATACCACAGTAAAGCAAGTCCAGTGAATTTTCTGGTTTCCCAGTGCATATAAAGGTTATGTTTACACGGTACTGTAGCCTACTAAATAGTGTGCAATAGCATAATGTCTAAAAAAAACAAGCTTTTAATAAAGCATTTAAAAATGCTTTATTAAAAAAAACAGGGGTGCCTGGCTGGCTCAGTAGGTAGAGATTATGACTCTTGATCTCAGGGTCCTGAGTTCAAGCCCCATGCTGGGCATGGAGCCTACTTTAAAATAAAAGAAAATAATAACAATAATAAATAAAAAGTACTTTGTTGCTAAAAAATGCTACCCATGGTTTGAGCTTTAGCAAGTTGTAGTCAATGATCAGAGATCACCATAACTGATAGAACAATAATGAAACAGTGTGAAATTTTGCGAGAACTACCCAAATGTGACACAGAGACACAAAGTGAGTAAATGCTGTTGGAAAGTGGTACCGATGGACTTGCTCAGTGCAGGGTTGCCACAAACCCTCACTTTGTAAAAAACAGATTAGCTGCAAAGGTGCAGTAAAGTGAAGCACAAATAAAATGAGGTTTGCCTACATTCTTGTTCACTGAACAGGAATGGGATCATCACATCATCAGACAGCCCAGTGTTTGTCTCTAGGCATGGCCCTAAATGACTTATTTCTGTGTACACCACAGGTGCTTACTCCGAGAAGGTAGTTAGTGGGACTGGGCTTCTGTGTAGAAGGCTGGGGAGGGTCCCGTGTGAGTACGCTGAGCAACAGGTGCAGGGGCCCTGTTGGGAACTCCCAAGAGAAAGCACATTTACCAGCTGAGACTGATTCCACTCCTGGATTTTGATCTTAGCGCTAACAGCTCATCCTGAATTTTCCAGTAAGGCTGGGTAATGGCCTGAAAAGCCAAGGACTTTGTTTTCACTCAGGCCGTTGATGCACCCACCAAGTGAGAGGGGTGGAGGGTGGCCCTGTGGCTCTGTTTTCTGGGAAGTTGGGGACATCCAGCTTCCTGAATTCTTCCCAGTAGTGTTTATACATTTCTATGCTCCTTCCATCGAAAGTCAAGTCCTCATTTATTCACTAGGCACCAGCTGTGTGTGCAGGAGCACCTGTGAGGGTGGCACACTTAGGCACAGCATGAGGACGGATGCCCACCTGGAGGCAGCCACAAGACCCGTCCACCTCAGCCTGTGCAGTTCCAGTTGCTATTCTTGGATGGGCTCTTTTTTTCAGATGGAGCTTCAACAAAAGTCAAGTTCCAGTGGGGAGCTAATTATGTCATGAATATTGTATTCAGATTCTGGACTCCTTATACCTTTTTCATCTCTTAACTGTTTCACTGATCTTGACTGTTTTATTAGAAAAGTAGGAAGAGGAAGGGCAAGGAGATCTGACTCAGATTTGCTACTTTTCCACTCTGATTGCCACGAGAGATTAAGTGAGGTGGATGCTGAGGTGCTTCTTTCTGAAATGAGAACTGACACTATTTGTGGATTTCATTTTTGTCTTGAGTCCTTTTTTTATTTGGCAAAATATATACAACATAAAATTTGCCATTTTAACCATTTTTAAGTGTACAGTTTTAGTGGCATTCAGTATATTCACAATACTGTGAAGCTGTCACCACCATCCAACTCCAAAATTACTTCATCTTCCCAAGCTGAAACTGTACCCACTAAACAGATTCCTTGAGTCTTGTGTCCTCTCTCTCCCTGATACCCAGGCATATGGAAATGTTCTTTAGGTCACTGTCTAAAAGGAAAAATAACAAGTGCAATTGAGATATGAAATGTCCAAGCCAAAGAGACTAGACTCCTCACCCCACTCTTCCTGTGACTGTTTTGTGGAAAAACTGTATGGTGACTTTGGTTTTTCTTCCATTTCTTGGTCACTGACTTAGTGAGAACAATCTACAGGAAGATCTCTTTGACCAGATCTTGGCTGGGAAGCTGGAGTTCCCAGCCCCGTACTGGGATAACATCACGGACTCAGCAAAGGTACCATCTGGGTTTGTTCCTGTGGATTGCTTTTTGTTGAGGGGCCCTCCTCTGTTGCGTGGGACTGTTGCAGCTCTTGGTAGTGAGCTCCAGGTCTATCTTGACTTTTAATGTGTGTTTCTTCTTTAAGTTCATTCCACAGTATAGTCTCTGAAACTTTTTTTTAATTTTTGAAAAAATTAACATGATGCATTATTTGTTTCAGGGGTACAGGTCTGTGATTCATCGGTCTTATATAACACCCAGTGCTCATTACAACACATGCCCTCCTTAATGTCCATTCATCACCCAGCCACCCCATCCCTCCACTCCAGCAACCCTGTTTGTTTCCTGAGATTAAGAGTCTCTTATGGTTTGTCTCCCTCTCTGATTTCATCTTGTTTCATTTTTTCCTCCCTTCTCCTATGATCATCTGTTTGGTTTCTTAAATTCCACATATCAGTGAGATCATATAATTATCTTGAAACTCTTAAGCGAATTCTGAAGGCCGGACTGGCTGTCTTCCCAGTTTGCCCCTGTCACTGTCCTGTGTTCCTCTAAACCCCAAACATTCGTTCTTTCATTTATTAAAAATATATATATTGGACACCCATCAGAACGTGAGAATGAGACATACCAACTTGCCAAGAGGAACAGTACTGTGGGTTTTAAACTGTGGAATGATGATAATAACCAGAACTCTTAGGAGGGAACATCTTGGTTTAATGGCGACCCAGGAGAGGCCTTCTCTTGTCTTGCACTGCCGCCGCCCCGAGGCCGCTGTGTCTGTGTAGCCGCCTGGTGGGCAACAGGCGTGGAGGGGATGGTAGCTTTGACGTTGAAATGGTTGAGCAGCTGTGTTGGCTGGGTCTTTGAAGTACGTGGGGCAAACTCAGATCTCTGTGTTTATGCTGGAATTCCCCACTTCGTCTCCTCTACGGTCTTCTTTTTCCAGGAACTAATCAGTCAGATGCTTCAGGTAAACGTCGAAGCTCGGTGTACTGCTGGAGAAATCCTGAGCCACCCCTGGGTGTCAGTAAGTACCCACATTCGCAGGGAAGGAACACTTGTAAGTTCTGTAACCATCAGCGTGCTTCCTCACCGTGGCTTTTGTGCACACAGAGCTCTGCATCCACGTTCCATGGCAGGGGGACTGGCTTTCTCTCATGAGCAAGTAGTGTGCAGGTAGCTCTCTGCGAGAAAGCAGTTGGCATGAGGATCTCGGAGTATTTGACCTGGGCAAGTCACTGTCCCTTTCTGGCCCTCGCCTTCCTCATCTGCAAAATGAAGGAGTTGGTCAGAATGCTCTCTTAGGAGCCTTTCACCTTTTGCCTTCTGTGCTTCTGGGGTTTGGGAGTTTTCAGGATTTGCCCAGGGAAGAGTGTGTTTCAGACCCTGATCCCTATGTCTTGATGGCATGTGATCACAGGAGAGTCACAGGAGACCTTCTGCTGTGGGTAGGGAGGCTGAGACACAGTCCCTTCTGGAGCTGGGTGGAGGGGGCATGATGTCAAGCAGAGTTCTGGGCTTGGTGGTACCTCTGGGTTTAGGGTAAATGTGATCCATTAAGTGGTGCTGGTGGGAGAGTTTGCATTTCCCTTACTCTAGAGGCTCTGAGAGAGTGAGGTTAATGTACATAGCCAAGGGCTCTGGCTAGCTTGTTGGGGAGGGGTGGTGCCCTGGGCCCCTCAACCATCTCTGTGATCCCAACATCCTGACATCGGGCTTTGGCCTCTCTGGATCTGGCCAAGTGACTTGGGTCTTAGCCCGAGTAGCTGAGATGCCACATTTCTTTATGAGCGATAAAGACTAACAAGTAACCGAATTCTTCATTAAAATAATAAACTCTTCATTAATTTTGATGTGTCCATGGGAGGGATCTGTACAAAATTCTATGGGATTTATGCCTTTTGTGGAGAGTCTCAGAAGCCTAAAGAGTGTCCTCCTTCGTGCTCTTGGGAGACTGGTGCTCCCTCCTCAGCCCACTGTAGGCTTAAGGAGCAGAGCAAATGGCCTGAGGTCTTTCTGAGGACAGAGGACTGCTACACAAAAGTAATTATTTTTAAAAGGGCATTGTTCCCCTAACCCTGTGGTAAAGATGGGCCCTTTCAGGAAGAGATGGTGGGGTGGGGGTGACTATTAAGGAAAACACAACTTAGGCTTGAGAATCAGAAATCATTGTATGTGATTCTTTTCTTTTCTGTAGGATGATGCCTCCCAGGAGAATAATATGCAAGCAGAAGTAACAGGTAAACTCAAACAGCACTTTAATAACGCGCTCCCCAAACAGAACAGCATCACCACCGGGGTCTCGGTTATCATGGTAAGTGGAAGGCACCCTGTTGTGCTCTTGGAAAGTGGCAGTGTCTGGCCTGACTGCTCAGCAGACATTGAATCTTTAGAAGTGAATAGCCAAGGGCTTTCCCTCACATGGAAGTTGGCACCTTCCATGTTCCTCTTTTCGCTTCAAGACTGGCTTGGCACATGGAGTGCCCCCATCTGGCTGACTCCTGAGCCTGGAGTCCTAGGGGGAGGGGGTTGTGCAGGACCGGCCAGTTGGATGGGCCCCGGGCGCCAAGGAGCCCCTGGCCTCTCCTCCTGGGCTCAGTGCCGTCCCTCGCGGCTGCTTCTGCTGTCATCTCTGTATCTCATCTGGGGAGGGGTTCCCAAGCCTGGATGGGTTTACGGTCTCAAACAAACTCTGTGAGGTAGGAATTATTCTTTGGGACCCGGGATAAGAAACTGCTAAAGTTAAACAGATTCCTTTTAGAAGTCAGTGTTTTGTGGCTTTTAAAAGTACAGAACAATGTAAAAAAATATTAGTTTTTTCCAGGTTAGATTTTAGAAGTCCGTAACAGTGATCCCCATATTTTTTCAGACCTTTCTTCTTTCAAAATGTTTTTAAGGCAATTTATCTAAAACCATAAACACAACAACTCAAAAGTGGCATGAAAGTAAGGGAAGTAACATTAAGGTACATTTAGTAAAAGGGAAAATAGAATAAAACCAAGCCAGGAGTGCAGTTAGCTCGCTGAACCAGGCCTGAGCCCTTGCTGAAGCCAGGCCTTAAGGCTGGCTGTGAGCATCTCCCCTAATGTTTTGGCAGCAGGATACCGAGCCACCAACATGCGGGGCCGTGAGCTCTGTTCTGCCCATGCCCCTCAAAGGATCAGGGCCAGAGTGTCAGCTGGGGTGGCTTCAGACTCAGACTCTCTAAGGAGACAGGTGCCTGAGTTGTGAGCAGCTTGGCCAGCCCTGACCACCTCGGGTGTTAGTGGTACCCCGGGCCAGCTGGGTACCTGATAGCCGGTGACGGGCCTGCACCATAGCTCCAGCTTTCTAACTCGGGACAAGCCCTCTTACCCTCTGGAAAGGTTCAACTTGTTTTCTACCCGACTAGAAGGAAAGCAGTGGCTTATTCTCTGGCACATTGTAGTCTAGGAACGTTTGCCTAAGATTCCGGGTCCAGATAGAAGCTGGAGGGAACATCCCCCCCCCCCGACCCCCCCCCATGCTGTGAACAGAGAACACTGTGGGATGTTTGGTTGGGGTTCCTCCCCCTTGGAACTGCTAATGTCCGGCATTTTGCCATTCCCCCCCGCCCGCCCCCCGGGAGAGGCTGCATTGATGTGGCAGCCCTCTGGATGTCCTTGTAACTCCCTTATTCCTCCCCTGCTAGGAGGCATGCTCTCTCCCTGCTTCCCTCCCTCAGACAAGCCTGAGCTTGCAGACTGGGTCTCTTGACGTGTTGCAGGACATTGGGGTGCTCGGTGCCAAAGTAATGAGAAGGCCTCTTGAGTTGTGGTTTTCCTAGCATTTTAGCAGCGTTCTGCTGAAAGCCCAAGGAAGTCAGAGTTGTCACAGAATTACAGTTTAAACACTTTGAAAAGGACCATCTTGATTGACTCAACAGCCTGAGAACATTTCCAGGTGGTTCCCCTGTGAGAGCAAGCACTGATGGGTGGGATGGATGGCCAGTTACAGCCTGGCTGCATGCCACTGCAAAGCAGCTTCTGCAAAATTTAGAAGGAAATGAAACATTAAAAATTGGTACCCTTGACACATAATGAAAACCCTTAAGAAGAGTGTTTTTTAGAATCAAAATTTAACAACTATGTTAATTAAGCTTCATAGTCTCCTAGAGGAAGGACCTTTACAGGACTGTGCCCGGGCTTAGGAGAGTTTTACCACCATTGCCTGGGTCATCTATGGGCTCGGGGCCCACACAGGAGTCATGGTCCAAGACCTGTGGCCCACCAAGGCTCTGGAATGATCCAGCCCTTTCCCTTACGGCCCAATGTAGGCTTCGTTCTGGATCATGATATTTAGAGCCTCTCAGAACCTATATCTTAGGGTTTACAAATGCTATTTTCCCACTTTGCTGATGAAGGAAATCAGTAGTCACATTTCAAACCCCTGAGCTTTAACTGGTTGTGTGAACAAACAACCCTTTATTATATTTGTAATTCCAGTGGTGACTGTTGAAGCTTCGTGTTGACATGTATGTTCAGTTGTCATTTTGAGCATGTTGGCAGGGTCCCATCTAACCTCATGTTCCCTACACAACTCTGCAGGTTGTTAGCTCTGAGGAACTGCTGAGTGGCATTATCACATTCAGTACCTACAGGAGAAATCAGTAAAGCTTGTCTCTGGAGGTACCAATTCTCAATGGCCAAAAAGCTGGCCTGTGAATTTTGGGCTCATTCCCAAAAGCAGTGGCAAGAACGCCCCCATGGGGATGTCATGCTAATCCTCACCCAAGTGAGGACCTGGCCTGGGGCATGGTTGTGTGGGGGCAGCTTGCGATGCTTCTGTGTCGTCATCATCCCCTTCACCACCACTCTGTCTGTGTGTCCTGCCCTTGGGAACAGTTTTAAATGTGTTTTATATTAAAAATCATGAACCACGGAGGACTCTCCCTGGTATTCATACGTTCTCAGAACGAGAGTAGGTGAGGCTAACCTGGTTTCCTACAGGCACGAACAGTCGTGGAAGTAGGGTATCCGTGTTGTAGGGTCGAGTCCTCAGGTGACTGCTGTGTAACTTCCAGTCAGAACGGACTGTCTGCCGTCACTCCTAGGCCTCCCTCCGCGTGGCGCCCTTCCGTGCCTGAGGCGCCGCCTGTGGGCAGTGATAGGGTAGGAATGTAAGTAAGTAAAGCTGATGCTATTGTCTGCATTTTATTTGACAGTTTGATTTGACAGTTTGAGAGACACTTCAGAGTTTCACTCTTTACCCAGTTGAGACTATGGGGAATCCTGAAGCAGAATTCTGGTATTCAACATGCTGTGCTTAATCAGAGCAACTTCTAATTCGCAGCCCCTCTTAAATCTGCATGCCTGTCTCAGACTTCTGGCACCGGCGTCCGGCTCTTAGCTCCTTACCGGCGCGGGGCTCCTGTACCTGCTGACAGCCTTTGCGGCCACCAAAACCCGCCCTTGGGAAACTTTAAAACTTTACAGCTTGCCACGTTGCCTGCCGTCCCAGACCAAGAGCTGGCGAGCGCCTAGGAGGAAGACCCCGATAGTTCTCCCGCTCAGTGCTATTTTTCGCTTGGTGAAAAAGTACCTTTTCGTGAACAGCAGCAATAGGACAAGTACCTCTGCGAAGGCTTTTATTCTCTTTCTCAGACTACATTTCCAAAGATGCCTTTTTATCAGTAAGACAGGTGTGGAGCCTTTGGGGTAAGACAAGAGATTTCTACTGGATGAGGTTTTGGTTTAAGACAGGCCTGCGGTTTTGAATAGCACAGGCATTTTCTTTGACTCGTCCTCAGCATACTTGCAGGACAGTGCCTTTGCGGGGCAGGCTCCTGGTTTTTCCCCGGGGGGTTCATCCTCGCCTCCGGGACAGGGCCAGGCGAGGCCATCTTGTGGCAGAGGAGGGAATTCTAAGAAACCCCGCTCACGCCGCAGCCGGTAGCCAACTCGAGAAACGATGAATTCACATGGAGTGCTCTCCTCGCTCAGGGGGATGATGTTTCTTTCAGGGGGAAATTTGGGAATGATTTGGGCCTAATTAAAGATAGACAAAACTGTCTCAACCGTGTTGCTTCTGTTTGAAGTAAGTCTAGTTTCTGTCCCCGCTTCTCTCCTCCCTCCTGCCTTTCCCGCCGCCTGCATCTTCCCTCTGACTAGGTCCAAGGCAATGGTATGTACTAACTGCACTGCACTGCTTTGTTCTGCTGCACACACACATGGTCTCTGGACAGGAAGAGAAAAGGAGAAATAACTGGGGAGTTGTTTTCCTCGACCCAGCAGGGAGTTTGTGGTAGGGAAAAAGCGAATGCTGCCTCTCTCCATGCTCAGTGTTTTCACTGAGGCGCGGCCCCGGCCTCCTCTCCTACCAGGAGCTTGGAAGCTTGTTAAGGAGCAATGCTAAGTTTCTGATTTGGCTTTTCCACAGTGACCTACCCTCCAGGTAATTGAAATTGTCCTTGGAAAGTACTGACTGTTCAGCTTGAGCTCGGAAGGGCCTGTGGAGAAGGCCTGCGTCATAGCTGACACCAAGTGCCCTGAAGGCAGCCACGCAAGCCCATCGTAGAAGGCCCTGTTGTTTGTTCCTGTCTCCTCCATACTTTGTAGAGTATTACCTCCCCCTCCCCCGGGTAGTTAGATGTTAGATGACAAACACCTCCTGATCGTTGTGCCTTTTTAGCTCAAGGTGCCTGAGACCTGAAAGCACCTTTGGAAACCCAGTAAGATGACAGCAGGCCGGGCTTCACTGGAGAAGCAAGAAAGGTTCAAACTGAGGCAGAGGAAGACTAAGTCTCACCTCCCTGTCTGAGGTCAGAAAACCAAGGCGATTTCTTCATGTTTGTGGCCATTTCTGTACTCCTTGAGGAGTTGAGCTGAGTAGAAACTTTGGGCATAGGGCGCCTGGCTGGCTCAGCTGCGGAGCATGCAACTCTTGATTTCAGGGTTGTGAGTTCAAGCCCCATGTTGGGCATGGAGCTCACTTTTAAAAAACAAAACAAACTTGGGGGCTGTTAACAAGATAAAACTGCCCGGAAAGAGAAGAAGAGCAGGTCAGGTGATCATGGAGGATCTAAAAATGGGTAATGGTGCACCATCAGATTGCGGCCTTTTATAGATGATGCAGCCACTTGGGTTGTAAGGGGATTACTTATATGACACTCGAGTCACTTTTCAACCTGTGAGGAAGAATTTGCCTTAGAAAAGCTAACTGTCAGAGCCTTAGCATTCTCCTAGGGCTTGCTTATTGTCCCAGGATTCTTCTGGGCTCAAGATCTGGGCATGGGAAGAAGCACTCAGAACTCAGGCCAGCTCAGAGCCAGACAAGAATCGCCTGAGGCTGCCATCCAGGGCCGCCTGACGCTGAGCGAGGAGCCGAGGCCAAGCGTGGCTGACTGCCCAGGGAGGGTGTCCTCAGCCATTGCTCTTCTCTCGGGCTTCTATTGGAAGAGAAGCTCGATGTTATTTCTCCTCTTCTGTTTCCGAGTCCTGTGCATGCTCTCGTGCGCTCCTGTCGTGGTAGCTCTGACCCAAGCCCAGGCCGGGCTAACGTGCTGTCTCCACTGCTTTCTCCTCAGAACACGGCTCTAGATAAGGAGGGGCAGATTTTCTGCAGCAAGCACTGTCAGGACAGCAGCCGACCTGGGATGGAGCTGACCTCTCCAGTCCCTCCCTCAGCCGAGGAGCCCCCCGTGTCCATGACGGCAGCCCCGGCCCCCGCCCCCGCCCCTCTGGAATCGCCCACACGCCCTTGTTCCCCTGCTGCCGTTGGCTGCGAGCGGGCAGGGACCTGGCGCCGCCACCGTGACTGAGCCCCAGGCCGATGGGCTGGAGCCTGCCGCACCGCTGGGAAGCCCCTCTTCTGTCCGGGCCTGCCGCGCAGTCCCCTCACTGAAGAGCCTTTCTCCGCTGCCTGCCATTGGGAAGCTTGCTGGCACCCGGGAGGGCCGCCAGGAGCCGGGAGCTCTATGCCAGGGGTTTGCTTCTTTTCGTACTCTGGGCTCTGCCCTCTGGTTCCTGGAGGGTCCTATGCAGTGTTAGCCTTGGTGACAGAGTGGCTCATTTTAAATTATTTGTCTTCGGTTCATTTTACAGTGTCACCAGGAGAATGTGCAACTTTTATCTGGGATTTAATGCATTTTTATAGAAACATTTTGGATGAATCAAGATCTCTCCCCTATTTAAGTAAACTCGGAATATTCCTTTTTTTCTTACGAAGAACTTAGAGCTGCATTTGTCCCTTTGTGGGTGTCCTGTGAGAGGTGGCACAGCACCTTCCTTTGCTGTTGGGGTTTGGAGGACTGGCTTTCTGATGGGAGAAATGAGCACCCAAGAGGACAGTCTGGTCATCGGACACTAATTCCAGACTTTGAGAAGTGCTTCCCGGTGCCTCAGGAAGCAGCCCACCATATAGCTTGGGGTGCTGGGTTTACCTAAGATGACACTGGATATTTATTTGTACACAGACCCCAGGGGAATGTCACTTTGCTCCCTAGACATTGTGTGTTCTCCCCCCCTCCAACTCTTCCCACGTGTGTATTAGGAAATGCTAACGAAGTCGTCCTTTGGGCTTTTTCTTGAAAGGCTTGGCGCATGCAGCATCACCCCGGCCATGGCGGCTTCTTCTCAGCAGGCCGGCTTCCAGCAGAGCAGGAAAAACTAGGCATCTGAGCAGCCACCAGACTCTTTTGTCATCTACTTGCCGTCTGGAGCTGGCGGGAAACACCTGAGGAAACATGGGCCGAACACAGTCAGGACTGGGGCGGGAAGGTGCTCCGCAAACATCCTCTGTCATTAACCTTCTGGAAGGCTGCTGGCAGTTTTTCCTTTTTCCCCTCACTACCCTGCCCTTTTTAATAGTTGTACATAGTCGGTAGATTTGTTTTACCCACTCAACTTCTAAACTGGTGGGCCCTGTAGTTCATTCTCATTGTTAGACTTTTGCCTCTTACAAGTGTACCCGACCTGCAATAAACCCTTCTTGAGAAAAAAGCAATGGGGGTGGGCAGAGGATTGTGTGGTGGTGGTTTGCGGGGTATGTGTGATCAAAGCACACCTCCTTGCCCCAGTCTGGCAGGTGTATCCGTGTCTTTTTATGAAGTTTTGGGTGAGGAGGGGGAAGAGAGAGTGATGCTTGGGAAGCACACATGCAAATGCATCTTGGTCCAAGTGTATTTGGTAACAGGTGCAGAAACCCACAACGAAAGCTCAGGAATAAAAAGGACTTATTAGCGTACAGCAGAGGAATCCTGGGGAGCCAGGCTTTATAGAAAATGGGGAGTCAGGGCAGCCATTCCCCTGCCTCCTGTCTGTCACTGTCTGTGACTCAGAGGCTGGACTGTCTCCTGTCTGCTGGGTGCATCTCAGCTCCCGGTGTGTGTTCTCTCACGCCTGCTCCCTGGCAGCGGTCGTGTAGCCTGGTGCTGCTTCTGTGCCCAGCTTCCCAAGGCTGTCCGACGGCAAGCCTCAAGACCATCTACTTCAGCTCTGGATCCCTTCATTCACACTGCTGAAAGAGTGAGGCCATCTGCCTGGCCCCAGCCACGCGGTCATTTCTCCCCGGGCTGGTGCTGGCTCACGATTCGATTCTGGAGGCCGGTTACAAAATGCAGATGGGCTTCCCAGGCCCACAGCTGCAGCAGGTACAGGCCTCAGGAGGAGGGCAGTTTCCAAAAAGCTGTGATGTACAGGCCTAGACCCTTCTGCATGTCTCTGTCCTCACTGAGGAGTTAAAGAGCAAGCCTTTTCACGGCTTCCGATGGAAATATTTTTGTTACTGGCGCAGGAAGAGCTTGTGTAAAGGAAAGAGGAGAACACGGAAGTAGGGATGGAGCATGGCCTCTGGCAGTGATCAGAGTCTGAAACCTGAGCCCCTCCCTGGGACTGAGGTCCAAAGGCATTTGCTGACAACTTAAGAACGTAAGTGCCAGGGCAGCCAGTCACAGCTGATAAGACGAAGGAGCATCTTGTGTCCAGCACGTGCTCCCGCCCTCTGTGCCCCCCTCACGTGGCCGGGGACTTGGTGGGGGAGGATGGCCTGCAGATGGGACGTGGCATGAGCAGGTGTGACAGCACGGCCTAGCAGTCCTTCTGGGACTCTCTTAATCCCACAGATACCTCGAGTGATGTGTGCTGGTAAAGGAGCAAACCAGGCAGTTGGTGGCACAACCCAAGTCACAGGACTGGCAAGAGTCAGTTACCATGCCGCTTTAGGTTCTTCCATCTCCAAAGCGGTGCTCTTCGGAGGTACCCTGTACCCTCGGGGGGTGCAAATCTAGGCCTGGATGTGAGTGGTCATCTAAGTAACGATCCTTAGTAAAGGCTCTGACTCCACAGGTAAGTTGTTCATTTGCCCATGTGTTTAGAAAACATTTGTTGAGCTCTCTTCTGTTCTCAGAATCCAGATTAAACACAGGTATATAATTGCTAGGTTCCTCCACTCTTGCACGCTGAGAGTGGCATGTCCTTGTTGGACGTTCATTCCCTTACTCCAGCAGGGGATCTGCGTCTAGGGAAACTGATCTTTGAAGGGGCAGAAAAAGGGGAGTGGTGGCCTGTTGAAACCATCATGGGGTGCTTGCCAGGCTCAGCGCCTGGGCCATGAGTCAGGGCGGGTGTCTCTCTTTTTTCAAAAAGCTTGCCGTGATATGGAAGTACGTGGAATATATGGATTGAAAACATTTGGCAAAACTTCCCGCCGAATATTTTCATGGATATGGCTGTGAAATGTGAATCTGAAAAGAGTGAGGACAGTTCAGCACAGACCATATGGAAAGAGAAAGGGTGCCAACCAACGGTGTTGAGAAAGACTTCTAGAGCAGCGTGCCGCCCCCAGAAACGCGGTGTCAGCCGCCGAAGCTGATGTTTTCTGGGGCCACATTAAAAAGGAATGGGTGAAATTCATTTTGTAGTAGATTTGATTTAACCCAATGTCTCTACGGTATTATTTGAACTTGCAACCAATGTAAACAAAATCTTGGACATACTCTTTTTTTAATCCTTGAAATCAAGGGTGCGTTGACATTTACAGCACATCTCGGTTTGGGATAGGCATGTCGTGAGTGCTCGGAGCCCACACAGCTGTGCCAGCCACACTGGCCACTGCAGCTCCGAACAAAAGCCACGGCTCTTGGTCTTTGTTCCTCTTCTTTTTCTGTTTTGTTGTGCATATGATGTGAATGATGATGTAGGAAGAATGCTGATCTCGGTTTTACATGGGATGGGCTGATTTAAAATGACTCAGCGGGTTAAAACCCTGATCCAGACCCACGGCATGAAATCAGAGTGTGAGGGCTGCAGTCCTGCCCCCCCATGGCCTCGACGTGTGCCAGCTCGTGGGAGAGATCGGGGCGTGGGGAACTGCAGTGGTCACCGTTCAGGAGGTGCCCCCTGAGCTGCTTGGATGTTAGTGTGATCTTTACACTGCGCCAGGACAAGTACGTGCGGACTGTGCACCGTGGAAGCTGAGCCCTCCCACCGGGGCAGGTCTGTTCTGAAGGCCTTGTGTGTGGTGCGCACAAGGCGACGCTCACCCGAGGGAAGGCAGCCAGGGTGTGTGGGGCTATGAATCCTGGGCAGCCAAGGACTAGTGGGAGACACCGTAAGCACTAGGGGAAATGAACGAGAGGCACATGTGCTAGATGTCTTTGGCTGTATAAAGACCTGTTCCATAGCAGCAGGTGTAGACTCATCTTAGACTTACTCTGGATGGTGGTCCGAGGTTAGTAGGTAGAAGACACGAAGGGTCAGATGCATGGGGAGTCTGAGACTCTAATCAAAGGGCAGCCCAGTGACTGAATTAGCTGCTTTCTGAAGGAGTGACAGTCTAGTCTTTGGAAATGCTTAGCTGCTGAAGAATAACCACTGCAGAAGTTTACAGTTTACAGAGTACTTCATCCTGTATCATTTGAGCCATTAATGTCCACATTCCGTAAACAAGAAAACTCAGAAGGATCAGGAGCTCATCCAGACGTACTGGAGCTGGGATTTGCTCCTCCCGGTTCCCAGGGAGGCTCTCCTTACTTATAAGTAGGCTGTCCTCTAGGTGGTCAGAGATGCTTTAGATGGGACGTCTGTGTCACAGGCAGAGGGGGGATGGGATGGTGGAGACACCTGACAGAGTGGTAGAAAACTGGCACTTGGGGCCTGAATGGTTATGGGGGCTGTGGGGTGGGGCCGGGGGGGGGGATGTTAGATGAGGAGAGTAGTTTCTCCAGAAGGAGGCTGATGTGTGCATCTTAGCTTAGTCTTGGCCAGTGGACTAGAAGGGGGCCAACTTATGATAAAGCCTGCAGCCTTGAACTCAAAGGCAGTTAGCTGTGGGAGGGCGCTGCCCTCACTGAACAGCTGAGGGGAAGAAAAGGGTATATCTGGTACGCAGACAGCCATTTGCTTCTGCCCCGCCCTTTCCCAAACCCCCGTCATTAGGGGCGGTGTGGTCAGGATCGTTTCAACCCAGTGGGCTGAGTTTGGTGATTTGTGAGGGTTGGGCGCCTGTCCTTGCAGAGGATGAAGTCGGGTCTGGTGAATGTCTTTCAAGTTGTCCAAGTTCAAAGCTGCAAAGCAGCCAGTTGCTTCCTGCCAGGTATGAGGAAATAACAGCCTGGCCCCCCCTCCCCCGCCAACCTTTGGTTTTGGCAAGGAAAAGTTATTCCTGAACTTGAGACAGGAAAGTAATTCACTTCATGTTTCTGGCATATGACTGCTGAGGTCTCAGAATTCATAGGAACATTTGTTCATTGCCTTCTTCCCTCGCTGGAGAGCCTGGCTGTCTTTGGAAGACAGCTTGCCTAAAGGCCAAACCACACTCACTTTCATTAGAAAAGCGTGATGTCCCTTGGTTTGAGCAATCTGCATTTTTGGTTCATAGCAGGGAGGGCTGGGAGTGACGTGTCAGTGTGACTAATAATAGGCTTGGGTTTTTAAACAGTGATCTTATGTTTTTGGGGGGACCCAAAAGGTGCATCATGGACTCAACTCTTCAAATCTATGTATAGATTTGATTCATATATGAAAATTATGTTTTTCCCACATATCTGAGAGGAAATAGAAGAGGCAAAAGAAAATTTAAATATTTTTGTACTTTATTGATTTGCTATTTTATGGTGTTTTCCTTCTGTTTTACAGTATAGGAAGTTTTTACTTCCCAGCTTCCTTATGCTACAAAAAAGGGGAGTAGTTAGGCTGGTTGCTCTCCTAGTTGAAGTAGAAAACTCTTTCCCCAGTAGTGGGGCAGAAATAGCCAAGAAGAAGCACTGGCATATTGGCTGATACACAGTTTATGTAGATTTTGAGATTCACGTCATGTCCTCCTTGTTTCTTGTTTGTGAAGAGCCTTTGGCCTAATGTGATGTCACATGATGACGTGAGGCTGGGGGGTGGGCTGCTACTCCATGATCTCTAACGCACCCCAGGAACCAGCTGGGCTTCACCACCAAGCTCAGGGGTAAGATTCTTCGTCCTGTGTGGATGCAGAAGGAATCTGTGTCCTTGGTATGCTGTGTTCTTTTGCCGTGATGGAGGGTGAGCAGGACAGTGCAGGAGGAAGGACCAAACCAGGCCCATCATTTGTATGGCCAGCAGCTCTTGAAATCCTGTCCAGGAAAAACCTATCAGATACCTAGTGAAAATCACTCCCCTAAAATTCCTGTTTCGGTAGATCTGTTGTCTTTTAATTTCAGTTCTGTTTGCTGAAAAGGGTGTGAAGTGGAAGTGCTGACTGGCTGTATCGGGGATTCCTGGCCATCTTCTGCAGACTTGACCCTCACCGGCTTTGCTATCCCACTGGCCATCTGACAGCACGGCGGGGGGGGGGGGGGGGGGCGGGCACATGGCCCCAGGTGTGTATGTGTGGTGTGTGTGTGTGTTCGTGTTTGTGTATGTCCGGTCGCTGGCCCTTGGGCTCTGCTCTGCTGTTGGAGCTGAACAGCAAAGGGCAGGCCCAGGTTCCAAGCTACCTCACATCCTACACGCAGCTTCTTAGGGTTTCCATGCAGGTCACTGTGAATCTTCTTGTCTTATAGGCTGATCAGTAGAACGAAATGTTTCAGGGGGCAAAATCATTCCTTCTTATTGAATTAATGTATTAGAATATTTCTTTATGGATGTTTGGTGTACTCTGGGGAGGAAGATTCTCATCTGAGAGGGAACCATCCATCAGTGTGTACCAGTGTGCTTGACAAGCTTTCATGTCCTGTATTTGCTAAGCCCACCTGCTTTTTCCCAGAGATCTAGTCTGCTGTTGCTTAAATCACAGAGCCTCAAGGATTTGATTGGTGGCGTTTCAGTATGAATCAATACTATCAGGGAGGAAAATCTGAATGTCTCGAGGCAGTGCATTTTAAAACCAGCCGTAAATTACTGTATGTAAAGGGAACACAGCACACTTCGAACCACAGCCACTTACTGAGGGTGCTGCCACGGTTCCTGTCTGTGTAGCTCATCTGGTTTCATCCCAGGCCGCCTCAGCTTTGACTTCTTTCCCCTCGTTGGTTTAAATTTGATTTTTTTTTTTTAAGTAGCTAATACTGGTTAAAATGAGTGAATGTTGAGTAAATCCTAACAAATATGATAAACACCTTAAGAAGCCCTTGTGTTGACACCAGCTATATTTGTTTTATGAGTAAAGGAATACGTAATACATAGGTCAGTAATATATATTACTTATGTTTTTGTTAATTTTCCATAGCTGTGAGTCTTAAAACCAATAAAGGCAGTGGAGGCACCAATTTTCTTAGGCTCCAAGAGGAAGCTGCTTTATTCACTTTAAGCCTGTAAAAATGGGGTAGTTGAAAGTATCAAATGCTTGGCATAGGATGTAGGTATTACAAATTTTCTTCTACCATTTTCCCTAAAGTTTCTGAAGTACAGTATCAGAGGGTAACAACAGTGAGGATGTTTAATTAATTTACCAGTCACTTGGGTTTTTCTTTGATCTAAAATGTATATTCTCACATTTGACTATTTTTTCTTTCTTAATGGTTTATAAAACAGTGGTGGATCTTAGCTATAGGTCTAGTGTTCTCATCAGTGTAAGTCTTGGTAAGAGGGAGCTGTCTGGCCAAAGAAGGCCCATGTTCCAGTTTTCAAGAGAGTCTCTTGTTGGTTATTGTTCAAAATCTGGGACTAAACCAGAGTTTGACATTTTCTTTGCAAAGAATTGTTTCATTGATGTTTTAAATTAGAAGTGAAAAGATATTCTGAAAAATTCAATTACAAACACCATTTTATTTTTCTGTCAAACTGAGTTCCATTCCAAATCTTTGCTGTTAGAGAAGAGAAGAGCTGAATGTTGGAAAATAGGAGGGGACCCTTTTAGGTAAGTTACAAGAGAAACAGAGATGGAATGCTGGTTGCAACTTGAAGTTCACAACTTACAAAGAATTTATTTATGCAATACAGACCTTTTCTCAAATATTTTTCACAGATTTCCACACAGCAATCTACTAGAAAAGTAGAATTATACAACACCAAAATAACATGTTTCTTAGTACAAATTGCTACTCAAAGGAAGGTGAAGATATTTAGTAACAAAGAGAAGGTCAGATGGGTGTTGCCTCTGTTCTCAGACCCGGGTAGGGGAGGGGAGCCTGGCTGCTGGCTCTGCCTCAGTGCCCGGGCACAGTCAAACCTCAGGGGTGAGCTTTGGTACTTGCATTTACTTTAAGAGAAAAACAAAGGTTGTGAGGCCACGAGCCTTTCCATCATTTCATTTTGGTGTGCTATGAAAGACAACCTATCAGGAAAACATTGTAAATAAAACATTGTAAATACTTCACACTTGCTATAACATTAGATCCTTTATGTTAACCACACAATAAAATAAAAGAACCTCCCCCAAACCATAATTTTCTAGGTCTAAAGCATGCTTGAACAATAATATTGATCGAAATAACTCATTGAGATGTTTTAAATTACATTTACCACAATTTAAACATTACTATTTAAAATCCCAGAAATTTCAGTGCCAAAGAAGCACGATTGCTTGGAAAAATACAGGACCCAAAGTACAGCATAAAATTCCCTATCCCAGTATTATAACCCACTTCCCTATTAAGATCATGTATGTCTCAAGATTACAGATAAAGGGAAGTGGTTTTTCATAATATAGCTAGAATAAGTGGGTTTACTTGCTCCACTGTATGTTTCCATAATTGGTGAAAATAGACTTCTCATTATGACTAAAAATATAGATTTTTTAAACTACAGAACCCAGCAGCCAATTTTCTGCTTTGCTATCCCCCCCCGAAAGTCAAGCAGTCTACAAAAATAGCAATTAACTTTAAAAAATATTTTGCTTCTTAGAGCAAATCTGAGTTACATTCAGATGTGATAGCTATTTCTAAGCAAGATGCTCCCGATTACCCCCCACCGGGACTGGGGGCCCGGCTGATGCGCAGCTGTCCCCGGTCAGTAGCGGGTTTGGGATTCGTGATGCCACCGGTTAAAGTCGTTGTAAAACAGAACAATGCTTCCTGAGGCCATGCCAGAAATGATGCACCTGGGAGAGGCAGAGAGAAGGAGGGGTTTACAAACCACTTTGTTTCCTAGGGTTCTGTTCCTAAAGAAAGCACTGCCTTCCCCAAATCTCCAAGTAAATCTAGAAGATGGCGGTCGAACCTAACAATTGGTGAGGCCTACGGCGCGTTTGCTGCTTGCTGATGAGGGCACAACACTGAGGGGGCTCAGAATGCCACCTCCAAAACTCCATGAAGAGCCACACCACAGCTTGCCTTTTTTACTGAACATGCAGTCAGTATGTGCAGGGTGAGTCACTAACACCGGCTAGGCTTGATCATTTCGGGGCCGGGGCGGGGGGGCTGGGCTGGTAAGCCCTAGCTTTTATTTTTATAGATATAAAATTGAAGCTGACACGTGAGGATACGTTAATTTCAGAGGCACAACTCTGCCCGTTACCCTGCACTCCCAAGTGTAGCTCCCGCGTGTCACCAAGTGATGTCAGCACCACACCACGGTCTCTCTCCCCTCAGCTGTGCCTGTCCCCTATCTTTTAGGTGAGCTATCAGGTACTTGCTGGTGGAGGAAGCAGCACACAGTTAGGGGTCCGAGATCTCTCTGGCAGAGTGTTGACCATAATTTGGGCCGAGCTCTGCTCTGCAGAAGATCTGGGCGAGGGGCCTAGTCCTCCTAAGACTGTGAACTCACTGAAATGACCACTAAAGACAGGAGCTGTCGCTGCGTGGCCCCCTGTCCCTGAGAAGGTGGCGCAAGGAAAACCCGCAGAGCAGTGGGACGAACAGTTTAGAGGAGCTTATTATCGTAGACCTTCCTCTGAACGGTGTGGTAGGGCCAGTCCTTAGAAGTCATTTTCAATATCCTTCCTAATACCTCATATCAAAATTAGAACTAAAATGTGCCACTACCAAAAAAATCAAACACAAAAGAAGGCAGTAATGAGGAAATGATGGACAAAAAAAGCTCTAAGACACATAGAAAACAAAATAGTAAAATGGAAAAAGTAAGTCTTATTGGTGATTACTTTAACTGTAAAGGCAATGAACTCTCCAATCAAGAGACACTGGCACAGTGGATAAAAAACATCAAACTATGTGTTGTCTACAAGAGAGTTGCTTTAGATCTAAAGATGCAAACAGGTTGAAAGTGACAGGACGTAAGAAGATATTCCATAGAAATAGTAATGACAGAGCTGGAGTGGCTATACCACTATCAGACAAAGTAGGCTCTGAGTCAGCATCTGTTATGAGACAAAGGAGGACACTATGTATCAAAAGGTCAATTTGTCAAGAAGATATAGCAATTACAGGCATATCTTGGAGATACCGTATTGGTTCTAGACCACTGCAATAAAATGAGTCAAATGAATTTTTGGTTTCCCAGTGCATGTAAAAGTTATGTTTACATTTGCACTATAGTCTATTAAGTGTGCAATAGCATGTCTAAAAAATGTACATACCTTAATTAAAAAATACTTGATTGCTAAAAACTGCTAACCATCATCTGAGCTTTCTGCAAGATGTAATCACAGATCGCCATAACAAACAGAATGAAAAAGTTTGAAATATTGTGAGAATTATCAGAATGTGACAGACACATGAGCAAATGCTGTTGGAAAAATGGCAGACCTGCTCAACACAGGGTTGCCACAGAAGTTCAATTTGTAAAAACAGTATCTGCAAAGCACAATAAAATGAAGTCTGCCTGTACAAACAAATGTACCAAATATCAGGGCCCCCAAGCTCTTTGGAGCCCAAACTGACAGAACGGAGGGGAAAAATAAACAGTTCTACAATAATAGTTGCAGACTTCAGTACCCCACTTTCAATAATGTGTAGAACAACCAGAAGGAAATAGAGGACCTAAAGAATACTAAAAACCAAGTGGACTGGGGCGCCTGACTGGCTCAGTACAGCATGCAACTCTTGGTCTCGGGGTTGTGAGTTTGAACCCCGTGGTGGGTATAGAGATGAGATTTTTTTTTTAAATTTATTTGAGAGAGAGAATGAGAGAGAGAGAGCATATGAGAGGAGGGAGGGTCAGAGGGAGCAGCAGACTCCCTGCTCAGCAGGGAGCCCGATGCGGGACTCGATCCTGGAACTCCAGGATCATGACCTGAGCCGAAGGCAGTCGCTTAACCAACTGAGCCACCCAGGCGCCCTGGATGAGATTACTTTAAAATAAAATCGAATTAGGGACACTTGGGTGGCTCAGGCGGTTAAGCATCTGCTTTTGGCTCAGGTCATCATCCCAGGGTTTCTGGATCAAGCCCTGTATCAGGCTCCTTGCTCAGCAGGGAGTCGGCCTCTCCCCCTACCTCGTGTTCTCGCCCTCTTTCTCTGTCAAATGTTTTTTTAAAAAAAGATCTAATTAAAAAACAAAACAAGTAGCTCTAACACATATATTGAACACTCACCCACTCAAAAACAGCAGAACATTTTTCTCAAGTGAGCATGGAGCATTCTCCAGAAAAAACCATGTTAGGCCACAAAACTAGTCTTAACAAATTTAAAAATCATACAAAGTATCTTTTCTGATCACAATAGAACAAGAAGTCAGTAACGCAAAACTGTAAAATTCACAAATATATAGAAATTAAGCAAGCAATGAATCAAATCTGAACAGAAATCAGAAAATCACGGAGACAAATGAAAACACAATAAACCAAACTTAATGAAATGCTGAGGGGATTTATAACTGTAAATACATACATTAAAAAAGAAAGATCTCAATCAGTAACCTAATTCTACACCCTGAACTAGAAAAAGAGCAAACTAAACTCAAAGCTAACATAGGAGGAAGGAAATAATGAAGGTTAGAGAGTGGAGATAAATAAAACAGAGGATAGAAAAAATGGGAGAAAAATCAAGAAAACCAAGGGCTGGTTCTTTGAAAAGATTAACAAAATTGACAAACTTTTAGCTAGATTGACTAAGAAAAAAGAGAGGACTCAAACTACTAAAATCATAGAGATGTTACTACCAATTTTACAGAAATAAAAGGATTAAGAATACTATCAACAATTGTATGCCAACAAATTAGATCAAATGGAATTTTTTTAAAGATTTTAAGGGCACCTGGGTGGCTCAGTGGGTTAAGCATCTGCCTTTGGCTCAGGTCATGATCCGAGTCCTGGGATCAAGCCCCACATCGGGCTCCCTGCTCAGTGGGGAGGGAAGTCTGCTTCTCCCTCTCCCTCTGCCCCCCACACCCCTGCTCATGCTGTCTCAATCTTTTTTTTTTAAGATTTTATTTATTTGACAGAGACACAGCGAGAGAGAGAGAGAGAGCACAAGCAGAGGGAGTGGGAGAGGGAGAAGCAGGCTTCCGGCCGGGCAGGGAGCTCGATGCGGGGCTCGATCCCAGGACCCTGGGACCATGACCTGAGCCGAAGGCAGACGCTTAACGACTGAGCCACCCAGGTGCCCCTCAAATAAAATCTTTAAAAATAGATTTTAAGTTATCTCTACACCCAACATGGAGCCTGAACTCACAACCCTGAGATTAAGAGTTGCACACTCCACTCACTGAGCCAGCCAGACGCCCCTGAAATGGAAAAATTCTTTTTTTCCCTAAGATTTTATTTATTTATTTAATTGACACAGAGAGAGACAGCGAGAGAGGGAACACAAGCAGGGGGAGGGTTAGAGGGAGAAGCAGGCTTCCCGTGGAGCAGGGAGCCCGACGCGGGGCTCGATCCCAGGACCCTGAGATCATGACCTGAGCCGAAGGCAGACACTGAACTGACTGAGCCACCCAGGCGCCCCTGAAATGGAAAAATTCTTAAAAACACACACTATACCAAAACTAAATCATGAAAATATAGAAAATATGAATAGACATAACTACTAAGGAGACTGAATCAATAATCAAAAGCCTCCCAATAAAGAAAAGCCCTGGACTAGATGGCTTCCAGTGGTGAATGCTATCAAACATTTAAAGAAGGATTAAACCAACTCTTATTCTTCTAAAAAACTGAAGAGTACAGAATACTTCCTAAGTCATTCAGTGAGGCCAGCATTACCCTGACACCAAAGTCAGAGACATACTCTACAGGAAACAAAAATTACAGACCAATATCCCTTATGAATACTGCTATAAAAATCTTCAACAAATATTAGCAAACCTAATTCAGCCGTATCTTAAAGGATTATATACCATGACCCAAGATGGGTTTATTCTTGGAATGCAAGAATGGTTCAACATACAAAAATCAAAGTAATCTGCCACATTAGCAGAACTAACAAAAACCTACATAATCACCTCAACTGATGAACAAGAGGCATTTCACAAAATTCAACATGCTTTTATGATAGTACTCATAAACTAGGGATAGAAGTACATAAACATGATAAAGGGAATTTTTTAAAAACCCACAGCTAATATCATATGAAACAGTGAAAGACTAAAAGCTTTTCTTCTATTATCAGAAACAAGACAAAAATAAACACTTTTACCAGTTCAACAAAGTACTGGGAGTCCTAGTCACAGCAATTAGGCAAGACAAAAAACATCCAAATTGGAAAGTTCGAAGTAGAATTAATTTCTATTACAGACTGACATGACCTTATATATAGGAAATCCTAAGGATTCCACAAAAAAAGCCTGTTAGAGTTAATGAATTCAACAAAGTTACACGATATAAAAGCCACATAAAAGTAAGTTGCATTTCTGTACATGTGCAATGAAAAAAATCTGAAAAGGAAATTAAGAACAATTCCATTTACAACAGCAATAAAATGAATAAAATACTCAAGAATAAATTTAACCAAGGAGGCCAAAGACTTGTATATTGCAAACTATAAATAAATAAAAAAATAAATGGAAAGATATCTGTATTCACAAGACTGTAAGATTTAATATTGTTAAAATGACAATACTAGCCAAAGCAATCAACAGATTCAACCCAATCCCTATCAAAATCCCCCCTTTTTTATGCAAAAATAGAAAAAAACCCATCGCAAAATTCATAATGGATTCTCTAGGGACCCCAAATAGCCAAAAACAATCTTGGGGAAAAAAAAAGAACAAAATCAGATGTCTTGTACTTCATGATTTCAAAACTTTCCACAAAGCTATAGTAATCAAAACAGTTTGGCACTGGCATATGGATCAACAGAATAGAGAACCCAGAAATAAACTCACATATGTGGTCAAATGATTTTTAATAAGCGTCAAAACCATTCAGTGGGGAAAGGACAGTCTTTTCAACAAATAGTGTTGGGAAAACCAATACTCACATGCAAAAGAATGAAACTGGATCCTTATCTACTATCATATACAGGCATGAATTCAAAATGGATCAAAAACTAAATAAACATAAGCGTTACAACTATAAAACTCATAGGGGAAAAGCTTTATGACATTGGATTTTGCAATGATTTCCTGGATACGCTGGAAGCGTTTACAACAACAGTAAAAAAAAAACTTCATCAAAATTAAAAACTTTTGCACATCAGAGAACACTATTAAGAGTGCAAAGTCAACACCACCAGTCATTAGGGAAATGCAAATCAAAAGCACAGTAAGAGACCATTTCACACCCATTAGGATTGATATTATTCTTAAAAAACAAAAATAAACCACAACCAGGACATAACAGGTGTTGGTGAAGATGTGGAGAAATTACAGGCCTTATGCTCTGCTGGTGGGAATGTAAAATGGTGCAGGCACTGTGGAGAACAGTTTGGCAGTTCCTCAAAAAGTTAAAGAATTACCGTTACTGCTTCTCCCTCTCCCTCTGCCTACTTGTGCTCTCCCTCTCTGTGTGTGTCAAATAAATAAATAAAAATCTTAAAAGAAAAATCACACACACACACTATACCAAACCAACATTCCACTCCTGGTTGTCTACATCAAATAAAACAGGAATCTGAACAGATATTCGTACATGAATGAATGTTCACGGCAACCTTATTCACAATAGCCAAAAGGTGAAAACAACCAAAATGTCAACAGATGAGTAGCTACACAAAGTGGCATGTACTATTCAGCCTTAAAAAGGAATGAGCTTTATGGATACATGCTACAACAGGACAAATATTTTATGCTTCCACTTATACGAAGTATCTAAAAGTAGCAAATTCATAGAGACAGACACTGAAATTGAAGTGAGCTGGATGGAGCTCTGGGAGGGAAAATGGGAAGTTAGTGTTTAATGGGTACAGAACTTCTCTTTGGGATGATGAAAACTTATGAAGAGAAAAAAACTGGAGATGGGCAGTGGTGATAGTTGTACAACAGTATGAATGTACGTAATGCCACTGAATTGTACACCAAAAAACTGATGGTAAATTTTATGTATATGTTATCACAATAAAAAAGTTAGGAACTAGGGGAGCCTGGGTGGCTCAGTCGTTAAGCGCGCCTGCCTTTGGCTCAGATCATGGTCCCAGGGTCCTGGGATCAGGCCCCGCATGGGGCTCCCTGCTCAGCGGGAAGCCTACTTCTCCCTCTCCCACTCCCCCTGCTTGTGTTCCCTCTCTTGCTGTGTCTCTGTCAAATAAATAAAATATTTTTTTAAAAAATTAGGAACTAAAATCTGTGACTGTATGTTAAGAAGAAATAAGGTACTGAAGACTATCTCCCCAAAATTTACCACTTGGAAGGTTTTAGGAAATAAGGCAAATCTCTCCATAGAATTCTCATGGACAGAGATACAGGCATTTTGTAATAAACATGTTTACAGCTCTTAAATTTTTATTTTAAGGAAAAAGTACTCTAAGAAATATAAAAAGCTTTATGGCAATGTAATTACAGTCTTTGTTACTTAAATCCTGTCTATTGCTGGAGAATTCAGCCTTTGTCTAGCAGTGGCAATGCCATCAAAAAGAAAAATCACACTTTAAAAAAAAAATTCACTGGCTTTTTCTTTTTAAGATTATTTATTTATTGAGAGAGAGTGAACGAGAGAGAGAGAGAGAGAGAGAGAGCACAAGCAGGGGGAGCAGCAGAGGGAGAGGGAGAAGCAGACTCCCCACTGAGCAGGGAGCCCGACATGGGGCTTGATCCCAGGACCCCGGGATCATGACCTGAGCCGAAGGCAGACGCTTAACGACTGAGCCACCCAGGCGCCTCTCACTGACTTTTGATTGCCCAAGTGATCCCCACAACCCAGTCTATCCATCAGCCCATTTAAATAAATTCCCTCCAGTTTTCACTATCTCCATCAGTAGACCGTGATTTCAGTGTTACCTCTGGTCGTAAGACAGGGCCATAGCCCGGATTCCAGCATCGCAGCCTGGATAGGCAAAGAGGTGCTTGAGGTCAGACACCTGCCAGACCATGACCACACCTTTGTCCCCTCCTGTGAGCAGGTACTGCCCGTCTCGGCTCAGCTGAATGGCCTAGGAGAGAGACAGCAATATTCAGTAGAGGTGTGGCCCTACGAGAACCCCGGCTCCCAGTTTCCTTCTTCTACCCTGCCAGCCACTCCATGAAGGGACAGCGTGGATGCATGTGCTCCTAAGAAGGTTACAGGAAATCAGTTACAGAAAACTTTTGTCCTTTTTCAAAAATCAAATGGACAAAGTTAGGCAGTGTTTGAGGTTTTGTGTTTTTAATTTTTGCTTTTTAAAGATGAGGTGGCAAACTCTTCCAGTTCTGTGAATACAATTTAAATGGTGCATGTTGTGGCCTGGGACCAGCATTATGAAATGAGGAGCCTCCTGGCATCTCTCCAGTTATACTGTGGATGTGCTAAGCCCATTCTGTCCCAAGGCTGGGCAGGCAGTGCTAGCTGGCCTCAGATCCCCGAGAAAACACTGCTGCCTTTGGGGCTGTGGGCCCACGGGAGAAAATCGAGAGCTTTAGTAACTTCACTAGGCCTGCTGGATTTTTACAGTGGTGAGGAAGACAACATGGTAGATAGAGAGCCAGCTTCCAGGGTCATTAAACCCCAGGTGAAGCATTTTCTTCTTGCCCCAGGACTGACTGCTTCCTGCCAGTACTGAACAGGAAGTACAGGCATGGTATTTGCTCTTCAGTCCTGTAAATGGGGCCAAATGCAGACCACTGCCTGCTTTTATATGACTTGTTACATTTTTAGTGGTTGGAAAAAAATCAAAGGAAGAATAATATTCCATGACGTGAAGATTATATGAATTCCAAATTTCAGTGCCCGTAAATAAGGGTTACTGGAACATAACCACACCCATTCATTTATGGCCACTCTCACATGTGACTACAACAGAATACAGAGTCTGCAACGCCTAAAATATTTTTTATCCTTTTACAGAGAAAGCATAAACACCTGTAATCCTATGTCTACCTGGACAGTGAATATGGGAAGACAGATTGTGCTAGCAAGCCAGAAAGAAAAAAAAAATCTAACTTCTGAAAATATATTTACTCTGTTCTGCACTCAGTTTTAGTATAGTTGCCTAAAGTTTATAATGTGCCCTTTGACAAAATTTTTAAAAAATCCTAGAAAAGGACTGTTCCATAGCCATTCAATTCACATTTACGTAAATGCCAACTTTTACTGGTCTCTTAAATGTAGCTCATTCTCAAAGAATACAAAAATACGTCTAAGAAAAACCCATATGGAAATAGTTACAGGTAAGAAGTATTCTCTGAATCTTAATCCAATACAAATAGTAAGATTTTTCAATATAAGTAAAAGTCAATATCCTTTCCCCCCCATTCCTGTCACAAATGGCCATCGCTACGGGCTACCAGGGAACTGCAGTATGGGCTGGGGCAAACAATTATTTGCTACACTTACAAAATTCAGCTGATGAAAATCCATTAACTTTATGGTTGTGGTTCACTTGAGTTTTATCCTTGAGGCTTTTTGCTGGGTAAGTGCTATATTAAAACATAAATTGAAACTACTTATCTTTAACTCTTTGTTCTAGTAAAGAATCGCTAATCCTAGTTCTGTCTGGAATTAAATAAAGCCTGGATTTTTAGGATTATACATTTATCGGCCTCCAAAACATTTTAATAAGCAGGTGCCCGCCAAAGCGAAAAAGTATTTTGTTGGCCTTTCTCATGAGGAACCTGTCCAGTTCCCCTGGAGTAAGAGATACATTTACTGAGGGCGCCCAGTCTTCCACCCAAACCAGCGCTCACAGAGTTCTTAACTCTAACTCCTCTCCCTCAGTATCCGGGTTGGGTTGAGACTGGAGATTTTAAGGGCCCCAGAGACATGTTCCCATCCCCTGGAATCCGGAGTGCCTTGGACAATGCCACAGCTGCACTGGTTTCTACGGCCATAGCAGTCTGCTGGGCATGATCACGTCCTAAAAGAGTTTCCCCAGAAAAAGAAAATAAATGAGTTCCTATGGGTGAAATGGTGGTTATCCTTTGTTTAGGATAAAATAACTTTGCTGCTCTGTACAGGCTGCCCACTTAATTTAAGTTACTCATTAAGACATCTAAACACTGCCTAGTTGATGTGCTATGATACGTTAACCAAATGCCACCCAACAATCTGGCATCTAAATAAAAACAGGTGGGAAGTCTTGATTAGCGCAGAGGTTCCCTAGGCTGCCGCCTGCAGGGTTCTCGGTATTTCAGAAACTTAATTTCTGGTCTGAGCTGATGACTACTTTGTCTCCATGGTCTCGTTTCCTTGTACAGCTCAGACTGCAGGATGGAACTAGAGATTTTTGCTCTGGGATGTCTCTTATTCTCCGGCAGTTAGCTGTGCCAGTGTCAGTCTCTGGAGCTATGGGCAGGTAGTGCTCATTTCAGGCAAACTTGTTTTAATCACACAGTTGCCACTTGCAAGCTAGTGTGATAAAGTGCAGGAGTGCTGGGAAAAAGGCAATGGATTGTTGAAGCCTAAAATCCAGTGGGAAATATTATAGGGGGAAAAAAACAAACAATGGCTATAGGGCAGAGAGGAAAAGCATGTGTGTATGAACAGTCTGCAGAAAGCCTCCTTACTATTGCCTCAAGGAACTTCCCAGAGCCTTTGGTACTAACTGAAATGCCACAGATATTGTTTTAGCCAGCAAGGGATTTCAAATTATTTTACAGATTTCTTAGTGCTGCTGACAGTATAATCGCAACTCAAAGTGACAGATTATCAACATTATTATTGTAAAGAAAAGAGGAAAGGAAAATCCTCTAACGTGTACTTGGTTTAAATGAAGTATTATGGGAAGGAAGGGAAAAATAAAAGTAGGAGTGCACGCTTTTGTGGTAGAGGCAGTCAAAATACAGTGAGGAAAATTCACAGAGTGCAATGGAGAAGACACTGAGTTAAGAAATCAATGCTAAGATACAGAAGCAGCAAGGGCCCTTCATTTCATCCACATAATCTGTACTTAGGGTTGTTTTAAATGCTGACTCCAGTATCTGTTTACTTGAGAGAAGCAAGGGTGGGGGGGAGTGGGGATCAGATTAGATCCGGGAAACCGGGAGAATTTATGTCACCTAAGCTGCCCCAGGTCAGGAAGGGCAACGAATACAATGTCCAGAGCTAGGCTGAAGCCACACTTGGAGGGCAGAGGCCTCTGTGACCCTCTGTGCACCCCCAACATGTCCAGAGCCCCCTCACCGTACACAGTTCACATGTGCCTCCAACCTCATCCTGGAGAATGATAGGAACACCACAGCTGCTTTCATCTTAAGCTGCCCCTGAAGGCTGGGAGTGCAAAAGAAGGACCTTGAAAAAGGAGCCTCTTCAAAGAGCAGTCCTTATTGTTTTCTTCAACCTCTGATCCTTTTGGAGTCCTGTCCTGAAGAGGAAGCAAGGCTCCAGAAGGTCCCCTAGCCTTACCATTCCTGGCTTATCAAAAGGGAAAAAAATGTTTGCCTTATTCACATCATCATTGGAAGCCCAATTCCCTGAATTTGGTAAGCGTTGGTCTCGTTATTCAAGTAGTCAAGTCTGGAGTGAGATACTAATCCTGAACAGTCGTGATCCCTACCACTCCCACCAGCTGCCTATTCGAGTGTGCAGAGGAATCAGTGTGAAGGGTAGTCTAGTGAACTAGTTTAGCTTTGATGCTCAGAAAACAACTATGTGCAGTTAACTTTCTTAGAGAAAAAAAAAAGCTGAGCAATGCTATTGAAAGCCACGCAGGTTGGCTCTACCGTGTGCCGTCACGCACGGAGTGCTCTGGCTGAGCGATGCGGTCGCCACGGCCGGGACTCGCCGTGGTCTGTGAATACACAAGCCCCGTCCAAGTGCTACCTGATGATTTTCTTATGGCGTGGAAAGGCCCTCTGCAACTGAAACAGAGGTCTCTCTAGTGAACCCTCTCCCTCCTCACTTGCCACACTTGGAGGTCAAGATCTAGAAGGGTGAAGAGTCTGTAGTATACTCACCCTTACGTTGTCATCCGTTTCCATAGTGGCCTGGAGTTTCCCATTCACACTGAATGTACAGAAGCAGCCATTTTCATAGAATATGACACAATGACCCTCTCTTGAAGCCTGAATGAGTTTTGGTTTCAAGCAGTTCTCAGGACCCTCCAAAGTCCTTAATAAGTCTCCATTCATGGAATGTATGAGACATGGTCCTTCTGAGAAAAGAGAAACAAAAGACAAAATTTTTTTAATGATGACAAATGTGAAATGAATCTTGAGCACAGATCAAACAGTTGTAGCAAACCTTTAAAACTTATATATCTTACATATGTTATTTTACAAAATGTCCCCTGCATGCTGGCCAGATCTCACCCTCTACTTGGGAGAGGAGAAAGCCAAGTCCTATACATTCAAGTACACTTCTCAAGAGACAGGAAGTTACTTTGTGAAATTCATTATGCCAAGAGATGATCAAAACAGGATGCATTCAGAAAGGAACAGGACAAATTCCAAATCCTAGAGGAGCTTCCGGGGAGGGTGGGCCACAGTTAAACACAAGCAGCCATCAAACTCACGACGAAGCTCTGTCTGCATGTCACAGAGGCCCCAACAGCAGTGGTCACACTGTGGGCCAGCGAGGGAACAGTTCTTTAGGGCAGCTTCCGGAGGCCTCAGCCTTCTTCCCTCCACTGCTCATTACTTCACAATGAAAGAACGTCGCTGGTAGTCCACCTCTCCCCTCCCCCCCACTCCCAGTAAATTCATGCAGAGGTCCTTCCGCAAGCGAGTACATTGGTGGCTGCCCCCAAAGCAAGTGGCACCCACACTCCCAATTCCCCAGGCTGAGCTCCAGGCTGAGTTGCCTGAGGGGGATGGGAGCTACTGCAAGTGCCTACAGATCAGAGGGTTTTCGTTTTTACTGAATGCCTGCTACATGTGAAGAAGGAGTAGGTAACCAGAACCGCCTGTGTGATGAGTAAGTTCTAAGAGGTGCCTGAGTCAGACAAGAGGGGAAAAGAGTATAAGGCCTGCTGAACTGCAAGCTAAATTACTCAGGCCTGCGGGACTTGTGAGCTGATCCCACAGGACTACCAAGAGCATGCCCCCTCCCCCGCTTTTTTTAAGATTTTATTTATTTGACAGAGGGAAACACAGTGAGAGAGGGAACACAAGCAGGGGGAGTGGGAGAGGGAGAAGCAGGCTTCCCGTGGAGCAGGGAGCCCGATGCGGGGCTCGATCCCAGGACCCTGGGATCATGACCTGAGCCGAAGGCAGACGCTTAATGACGGAGCCACCCAGGTGCCCCAAGAGCATGCCCCTTTGAAAATCAGGTTCTCTTCTTTTTCTTGACTGCTCAGGGAGTTTATAAGTTTTTTGTGTTAACATAAATACGTACCAGCAGCATGAATATCCATGATCACTCTTTAAATGACACCAGTCCCTCACCACAGTTCAAACTTCAGGTTTCACAGTAATTGCATAAAGTTCACATTTTGCGACTAGCTCTTCAGTCCACAAATGACTATGTAAATAACAGATGTGCATCACAATTGACCACATCATTTCCTTGAGAGTCTGTCAGCGAGTGGTCACTGACGGTCCGTCCCTCAATCCGTGCACACAGAGCTAACCGTGCGGTTGTATTGCTTCCTCATCTCCAGTGAGAAACCCACGTGACATTTTACAAAAATGGGTCATCAAAAAGGACTACTGGGCGAAAAGATGAAATTGCAGTAAGGAAATGAAAAGTGATAAAGCTGAGAGTGAACTTTGCACTGAATATAAATGGGGTTACAGGAGAAAGCACTGATTCTGGAAATGTTGACGTTGCTGAGAGACTGTAGATATGTAGCCAGAGGAAATCCGTGAAGGTGAACTTACTGACATAGATTAGAAAAGGGGTTGTAACAAGAATGATGATGTCCCAGAAGTAGTGATGCCAGCAAGAACCTTCACTTTAAAGGAACCCAAGGGGGATGTTTCATGATGTTGAATGCACAGAAGATAAAATGTTGGAAGCTGACCAAAACTTAGAAAGGAGTGTGACAACTGGTCAAAGCACAGAAAAGATTCCATTCTTTAAGTTATGCAAAGAGAAGGAGGCAAGCACTGTTCTACTCTTGATAAGTTTCTCATGAGGCAAACACTTTAATTTTCAATGTTTCTAATGTTTTTAAATTACAGTGTATTATGTAAATGTGAGTTTAACTGGTTTTTTTGTGCCCATCTATGTGTGTATAAACTGTGTAAGCGAATTTTTAATGTTTTGACAAAAAATTTTAAAAGCCATGAAACAACCCCGAATGTCCCCCACTGATTGTTATGATCACTCTACATGGCTTTCAGCTTGTATGGTCATTCTTATCATTCTTATGGTCCTGCACTACCATGCAAAGCAAGGATGACCTTTACTATGATAGGTTCATTTTATATGTCTAATTTTTTGTGTGTTTTGGGGTCTTTTTGAGATTTTATTTTTAAGTAAGCTCTATACCCAACGTGGGGCTCAAATGCACAACCCTGAGATCGAGAGCTGCATCTCTATCGGCTGAGCCAGGTGGGTGCCCCTGTGTCTAATCTGAATCCCGTATAGTCTAAGTACTTACATTTGCTCAGGATACATGAAATTATTGGGTTTAAGAAGGAAAAAAATCTAGTAGGTATAGAATTCTTGCTACCATTATTTCACTGCCTTGACCAACTAAATTTTTAAATACAATCCTTTGAATATTTAGTAAGTCTTGTTGGCTAGACTCAGTATTATAGTTCGAGACACAGATAAGGTGAGTCAAATACTCAATGCATCCCCATCAGATAACCTTCAAAGACAAAGGATTACAGTACTTTTTTTGTGTGTTCAAACCTCAGCTCAGGGCAGAGAGACAGAGACATGGATAAACTCTTGAGATACAATAAGCAATGAATTAGAAACAGCTCTGTTCCAGGTCAGATCCTGATTTGTGGCGTGTGCTCTTTGGAAGCTTGCTTAATATCTCTGGCCTAAATACACGATGATGTTGCAAGGGCAGACCTCCAGGCAAACCAGCTTAAGTATCTCTCCACTCTATTCTCAATGCCATCCTGGCTCCAGCCTCATTCTGAGATTTGGAAGTTAAAACAGACGAGGTCGAGTTCCCACCAGGTGTGAGGTGAAAACCAGCCTAGAGTCCAGAAGAATAAACAAAGAGACAAAGATGCTCCTTGTCCCTGCCTCCCTCTTCAGAGCAATGCTGTGAAACACAATTTTCTGCAATGGTGTAAACATTCTGTATTTATGCCCTTCAGTTCAGTAGCCACAGTCACGTGGGGGGAAGTGAACACCTGAAAAGTGGCTAGTACCACCAAGGAACTGCGTTTTAAACTTTACACAGTTAACTTACACACTTTAGTTAATTTAAGTAGTCCTATGTGGCTAATCACTACTGTAACAGCGCAGCTTAGAGAAAGAAGGACCAAACCCATCCTTGCCAAACACCCAAAAATGCACACATTTTTATGAAGGTACCACAGATTTACCTTTGGAGCCACTTAACACCAGGCCTAGCTCAGCGCAGACAGCAGCACAAGTGATCTCATAGTCGTGGCCTGTCAGAATGGCTCGAGGAGTGGTGGTCTCACCTTTAGAAAGAAACGGATAAAAACAAATCAGTTCAAGTTCATGCAGGAGATTACCTCTCTCAGCTCCTTCTACTTAAATAACCAACAACTTGTTCCTAATTCCTATAATGCCTAAATCTTTAATTCACAGTTTGGAAATCTGTCCAAAAAATGCTATTTTATTTTAGCACTAGATCCAAACTACGTGCTAGAGTATGAAGACCAGTTGCCAAATTTCTAATCCTTACATGATTATCAAGCAACAGTGGTTGAAAACACAGAGTAAAATAAGACAAAGATCTGCATTGTAGAATGACTCAGATACTTCCCAAATCTAAATATAAGCCCCCTGATTAGATGATTTATAGATGGGTGATTATAACAGCAGCACCACCCCCTTTTCCACTGGCCCATCAGATCCCTGTTGTAGTGAAGACAGTCTCAACTAGGACACGGTATCTCAAAGTAGCCCCTCTCTTAAATGCCTACTTACTAATCTTATGTATTTTCCTGATACAGAAACCTCACAGAGGGCATTTCTCTGTGGTTCAAAGAACAGAGGGGAAATAAAGCAAACTCTTACAGGTAGCTCTGATAGTGACTGAAAACTAGAGGAGGAACGTGAGGAAAGGCTAACAGAGAATGAGTACCCAGATAATGGAAGATGTTCCCAGACATTTTCACAATAGAAGAAGTCATCCTGTATCTCAGCCCCAAAATAAAAAGAAGAAAAAAAACTAGTTGGTTAATAAGGAACCCACACCACAAACAGGCCCAGCTCAGATAAAGAGGACATGGCTCTTGATTCATGCCAAGTGGCAAGGATAAGCTGAATTCATATTTCGCCTGAAGAACACTATTTTCAGACCACAGTAGCCCTCCACTTTTATCGTCTCTAAAGACAAAGACACAGAAAGCCTTTATAAATGGGACTAGAGAGCAGTGTTCCATTAGCATGCTTAGATTTCCTCAATTTGGGTTGGTTTCACAGGAAGGTTGATAAATGATACTGTGTAACTCAAAAGGGGCAAACATGCCCAGAAAAAGGTCTCCAGCACCAGCTGTGTTAGTCTATAGAAAGGAGGAACAACGTGTTATCCTCTCAGGTAGGCCAGGAAAACCCAGTAGAAACCTACTGTCCTTGGAAAGGCAAATACTGGCTGCTAAAAAATTAAACTAGCCTCCAACACAGTGGTTTTTGTGATGGGTCACAGTGGATTCTCTGAAATTTCATGCAAAATATATGTACATGCCTATGTTTTTCTGGGAGGATGGCGAGGGGAGGAAGGGAGGAAGCTTTTACTGAATGCACTGAGATCCATGACCAAAGGGGGGGGGGCGGGGGGGCTCTCCTATGGACATAGGGGCCTAGTTTCTGTGCTTCCTGCCCCCCTTCAGCTGGAGCCTACAGTTACTTCATGTCCAGCCATTACAAAAAATTATTACAATGCATTTATTGTCATACATAATGCATAGTTGTGTCCCCAAAGAGTGCCCCATGGCTTCTGGTGACTGTAAGTACTTCTGCAATGAGATGTAAGTAGAGGGGCATCATATCAAACCACATCGGCTGTGCCATGTGCAGCCCGACACTGGGACTGGCTTCCATGCTTAGTGACAGAGGGAGATGTCAAATGACGTATTAAAGGGCAAGGGAGTGAGTGGAACAAGGGGCTTGGTTTCTTTTGATTCAAAGTTTACAAACTGTGAGGGAAACCCACCTTAATTACAAAGTTCATTTGACATTTTGAAAACCACAAATTATTTGTTATAAGAGCAACTATGTTTTTTTTCCTTAAAAAGTACGCAAATTTGGGAAATTTTTTTCAGAAAAAGAGCAAATAATGTAAGCCAATCTGAACTACTTAACTTTCTGTTAGAGATCAGCTTTGCCACAAAAATTAGTAATATGTTTTAAAAAGTTACCTAGAGTTAGCCCTGATTCATTGTTTCCCCCTTTCCCAAGATGCTCTACATTCTACAAAACACTGTACATTATTTTCAAAATTAATGTTTAATTATATATATTGGCAACCTTTTGAAATCAAGAATTAAAATCATTAAGCTCTAAGGAATACATTTTCAATGTGATTGTTCCTTTTTTGTTTTCATAAGTTACTATTTTATTGAGGTGGAGAGATTTGTGTTTTAACTTGAGTTGTCTTGGAATTCCTTAGTGGGAAATGAAAGTTTGAAGGAAAACTGATGGCAACTGAAAGCAATCTAAAGTGAAAGCCAAAGTAAACAAAGGACAGATGGATAATGGACACAGAAAATGTTGTCATTTAGGCATGTCAGTGCTAACGTTTTGTTTTCTAGATCTAAGAATTTTTTCTCGGGGACATAGTGAGGAAGTAAGAAAATTGCTAATTATATTTAACATAAGAGTTGAAATACTGAGAATTTTCTGGGACTATAGAGTTTAGGAAGCCTCACAATTAAGTCCATAAAGTGGGTTAAGATAAAAGCATTCTTTTTTGTAAATTCATAATTAAGATTTTTTGTAAGTATGCTTTACTTACAAAATACAAGTTTCCAAATGATCTACATTATACCAATCATTTCTCCCTCCACAAGTCCGAAGATATACACATACTGCATGATTTCAAAACTGAAAAAGATTTTTCTTTTCCTAGAGTCTGATCTCTAAATAAAGAATTGTTCAGTGCTGGGACTTTGGCTTCAAAGTTTGGCAAAATGTTCTCTAACCCAGGAAGCAGGTTAGACAGTTCAGGAAATATAGAAGAAAAAAAAAGGAAAGGAAAAGAAAAACAACAAATTAAAAACATAAGGGTAAACTTATGACCACTGGGTTGTTCTCAGGTAACTGGTTTCACAAACACTTGCTGGATTTCCAGTAAGAAGACTGTGCTATTTAACATTCCCTCCCCTTTAGAAAATACATAATAGCCCCTAAAAATCCACATACAAGAATATAAGGAGGGATATCAAATCCTCTTAAAATAACCTGTTTGCAGTCTTGTTTAAAGACTGAACTGTGTACTTCCTTTATTATCTGCTATGCAGATTGAGTATTCTTTACATTTTCTCATCACAAAAATCTGTTCACAGTAAATACTTGTTGGATTAAGTATTAAAATTTCACTAAAGCAAATAGAATTATATGATATGGGACTTAAAACCAACAGACCCAAACTGTTTAAATTCAATGGATATTTTGGGGACCACCTGGAATAAAATTACTAAGGGTAGAGGGGAAAATCAGAGGCAGAACACAGGGTTTATATGTGGCTCACAGAATCTATTTATTTCTCTGGAGTTACACTGTTATACATCACCCTGGATCACAGAGCCCAGCAATAACCTCCTACAGAAAGGAAAAGTTAAAAACTGCTCCATATCTGTGTGTATTTGTTTGGAAAGTCTAGAAACAAAATCTAGGAACCATGTAACTCAATGCCATGGTAGCACTCACATCCCAACCTCATGCCTGCCCTGAGAGTTAATACTTAGTGGAGGGGGAGGGGGCGGAAAGCAGCTCAAATAAAACAATAATGGCCATACATTACTTTTTCAAAGACCCCAAAGCTATCACCATTTTTTTAGTGAAGTCTCTAAAGCAAATAACAGAAAAAAAAAAGTCTTCTGAAAAATATCAGATTAATTCGTTGATAAAAATTTGCAGTGTTAATGGATACAAGAAGTCTTTACCTCTGCTTCCTGGGATAGCAGGATCTATCAAAAGCTAGATCATAAAGCAGAACAGATTCCTTTAAGAATCTTTTAAAGTCCTACTGCTTGAAAAATCGTCATGGCTTTCAATAAAGCTGAGAGAAAAATTTATCTTGCTGCTAGTTTAAGGGGCTACACTTCAAACTCTCCTTAAAGAAAAATAAAAAGAGAAAGAGGATAGACTTCTTGGACTGCTTTGAAAAGCTTGAGCAATTACTTCAAAGGAAAGGGTGTCTTTGTCCAGAGAGCAGGTTTATGACTACTGATGCAAATCCTAACCAAAGGCTGAAAAGGATACTCAGTGCATCTTTATGGACGGCCTTAAAGGAAGATGAACAAGTCAAAGGAGATTAAAGACAGCCCAAATCCTGCCAAGAATACCAGGACACACCAGTCTTTACAGATGTGCTTTTCTCAGTACATAATACGGGAAATATCAGTACAAATTTACAGACACTATTCTGACAACCCAACTTGAATTTAAGCAGCACAGGATCTCCATAATACCCATTTAGCATTTATATTGGACCTATGTTTTAAAATATTAGGTGACATGTTTTACACCATTAGGCAGAATAACAAATGTTTTTATTAAATGTGTTTCTTTGGTGCCCTCATAACTAAGTATATTTCTCCAGCAAATGGACCCTGAACCACTTACAGTTATACCTCAAAGAAGAGAAGAGGAAACAGTAATTTTCTCTAGCACCCTGTTCATAAATATTCAATGAGAAAAATATTTCAAAAGATATGTCTCCATTAAAGCAAGGAGGATTAATAATCCAGGTAAAAACAAACCAGACATGTATTGCTGGCAAACTTTTGAGTTACATTTTAAAAAATAAATAAAGTTCTTGGTATTTTTGGCATCATCTCCTCACTCTTATAAAAATGAAATTACTTCAAAATGTACTACAGGGCGCCTGGGTGGCTCAGTCGTTAAGCGTCTGCCTTCGGCTCAGGTCATGATCCCAGGGTCCTGGGATCGAGCCCCGCATCGGGCTCCCTGCTCTGCGGGAAGCCTGCTTCTCCCTCTCCCTCTCCCCCTGCTTGTGTTCCCTCTCTCGCTGTGTCTCTGTCAAATAAATAAATAAAATCTTAAAAAAAAAAATGTACTACAAAGTTCTCATTAACAGTTTCAATATGTTACTTAGCAGAGAGAGAATCCCCTTCACTCATTCCTCATTTTTAAAATACCTCTTATTATGAAACAAAGTTTGGTTCAACATCTCCCTATCCCTATGTTTATAGAAATTAAATTAGTTCTTTCAATTAATACTTAGTTTAGATGACTCCTGGGCCAAAAGTTAACATTTCCCAATTGCTTT